GGGGCATACTTTTTCTTCCAACACTGTGAAAAGATTTTAAGCAAACCAAAAAGAGGGTTTCGTGTGACCATTGAAAAAAGTTCAATAGAATACCACACGAGAAGATTGAAATGCGCAAATTCAGGAAATTCGATATCAAAACACACTGTCCAAAGACCCCTCCCCCAAACACACACACACACACACGAAATTGGAGTACAAAATTCCTAAACTGCCCCCCCCCTACTTTTTTTTTTTTTTTCTTTTTTTAACGGTATCGCTCAATGCAAGGCCAATTATATTTGGCCACTTCTAGGCATAGAGCTAGAGGAACTTAGAGGAGTATATTATAGCTATGTCATGAGATGGCGGTGGACCTTTGTTTTGAAGCTTTGTAGATTGTAATCGGACGGAAAGCAGCTGTTTGGAAGAGAGTTCCATAATTTTGCAGTCCGGGGAAAGAAGCTGTTGTTGTAATATGACTTGGAGACAGGTATGTTAACGGTGTATTGATGAGAACTGGAAGAGAACCTAGTGGCACGCTGAAAGGTTCTGAGTGGAGGAACGAGAAGTGCAAGTTCTCCTGAACATCGACCGTGAAAGTATCTGTAGAAGAGGGATAGAGATGCGACATTGCGTCTGTGTGAGACACTTCCCCATCCCAGTCATATTCGTCGTGCAATCGCAATCAGGGGGGCATTCTGTTTCTAGTTTTCAAATGCTGTGTCGGAAAAGATATCCGGCAAAACTCTGATGCAAAGTTGACCAAACATCCAACGAAAACCGTGACAAAGCCAGGTTTCGCGCAGGCACAGTATGTTCTGCCGACTTTCTATAATAAGGCTATGTCTAACTTTTAGACGAGCAGTAAGATAGCCCTTACATCTTGGCTAGTGTCCAAGAATTAAATGCGTCGGAAAATATATGGTTTGTAACATGCAAAATTCTGATGAAAAGTTGACCAAACATCTAAATAAAAAATGAAAAATCCGGAATTTGCAGTACGTTCATAGTAACGCTAGTAAGAATACTCACAGCTCTGTACGTCCTCTTCTGCCCGGCGTGTTTGGGCGGCCGGCCGTCCCCTTCCGGAGCGCTGACGTGCATGTTGTAGATAATGCTGAAGAAATCCTCCACAACCGCCACGCGCTTAAAGCCTTGTCCTGTCTTCACGTCCTGCAAGTATAACATAAATATGAAAACGATGGTGATGAAGCTGATCTCAAACTATTGTATAAGTTTTAGTTCTGATCTTTATCACTGTATATGGTTGTGATACATATCATTGTATAAATTTGACTCATTGTTTGTTGTTTTTGTTTAGTTTTGAATACTTATGTATGATTACGTTAATTGATATTAATAAGTTATGAGATAGGCCCACGACCAAGCATCTTGGTTCCTTTCCTCCTCCGCATATATTTTGTATGTTTATAGCAAAATAAATCAAATCAATTGATAGAATTTATAACCCCTACAACACACTTTAACTCCGGGACGTTTACGTTTAGTATGCGCAACCTCCAAGCGGGCTAACCCTAAGCCTTTTGTTATGTGAAGCACACTTTAGGCTATTATTGTTCGCACCACTTTTACCATTCAGGAGAGAACCGAAGTCTTTCAAGTTCGTGGAAGAGCTGAAACTGCCTCCTGGCTTCCGAGGTGTGGGTCGGAGGTCGTGAGCTATAGTCATCTAGAGAAGACCATAGTTCACGTCTTCTGTAGTGACCTTAGGTCACCTATATGTCTTTGGAACAAGTTTTTGGCGCATCCATATTAAACGGGGCCATACCCGTTCTCAATCTTTCGCCTGTGCTCGGCAAAACTGTTCAGAAATCCCCCCGTTAACGTGGAGAATAAAACTAGATATCGTCAGTAGGTGCTTTTGTTGTCACAGGTTTCAAAATTCTGGGCGCATCTGCACTTTTTTTGCACTAAAAACTTAGTGCTGTGCACCTGATATTTTACTGTGGGGGCACCTAGATATTTGTGCAGTGTGTCCCGTACGTTAAGGTAGTACTATTATACACCGGTGTCGGCAAAATAGGTTTAGATTGGGACCAAACAAAGTGATTACGAAACTAGTGTTTTTGGAATGGGCCACCTTTTGGATTACAGGTGCATTTCACTCCGTAGTATCCCAGCTCATGTTTTGGAATGGGCCACGTTTTGGAAGGCAACACCTTATTTTTCGGGGAGCCGAACTGAAACCGACCCTCCCATCCCGCCTGCTCCCCGCCTCCTCATTACCGGTATGTCCACCGGGGCTGCAGTTAGATGAGATATGAGCCCCGGCTCGCGCTAAGTTACGGTTGGCCACCCATGAAATCAGGCAAAGACGGTACAAGCTGCAAATGTGCCCCTTGGACCTGGCGGTGGGCGGATTTAAGTGTCGGAGCGATCGCCCGGGCACGCGGGGCATCTCTAACGAGGGGGCCGTGCCGCGGGTCGGTAAGTGGTCGGCGTGACCTAGCTGTGCCCGTCTCACGGTCAACACAGAGTACACGGCGGACAGGGAACGTCGGGGAAGGTTGACGGCCAAGAAGGCCTGTTGTGTCAAATACCGTGTCTATCTTGTTAACGTAGGAGAAATCTATGGAAGCTAGTATGATTTTGTTAAGTTTGTACTCCTTGTCGTACTTTGGCGATATGCTGGAAAGGGCTATAGATAACTTTAAGCGAATGGCTCAGAGACGTCACATAGATGCGTCACAGTAAATGTACAGTCCCAAGCCTGAGGGTGAAAGCACATAGGGCAAACTAGTACTCTCTCGGGAAGGCCGGTGTGTACTTTCGTTGGAAAGCTTTGAATAGTCAAACAACGATTATTTTTAGAAGTTGGAAGTGCAGTTTGAATGTTGTAAAACACAAGCAACCCCTAGTTTTAAGTTGACATGACTGAAAATAAAATCATTGGTGCGTTTATACGACTGAATCACACAAGTGTCACTGGTGTCTACTCTGTACGCTGTCCATTCCACTGCCTTCAATCTCTATGTTCGCCATATTCACATTCTTCCAGTGGAAAGGACGATAAGCTGTATTGTAAATGGTTTCTCCCGCCTGCACATGTGCAGCTGTGATATGCGTGAACCATCGGCCGTGGTCAATGAGGGACACAGGTCGGGCGACGGACACATTATGATATTTCAGACAGGAGGGGCAAACCAGATAAGCTTTGGAGATATACTATCATTAGGGCTTGGTGTACGTTTTAAATCTTGACGGGCAAAAATGATTTTATGCATTTATCGGGACTTACCACACATGTGGAAGGATTGACATGACAGGTGACACAACTTTTGAAAATGTCAAACTTGAGACCATACTGTAAGGTTTGAACCACTCACACTGGGAAGGACCCTGCTCTTTTCACTGAGTGTGGTGGGATCTCTAATGTGCTCGAGGTGGGACTCTCTTTTAACACGGGACCCCCGGTTAATGTCCCATCCAAGAGGACATTCCTAACCTAAGACAGACACTCATTTCACATGAGTCGAGGGAGGAAATAAGTGTTAAGTGCTTTGGGCACAACATTGAGTTCTGCCAGGGATTCGAACCCAGATGCTTTAATACTAGTAAGGAAGCCTTGCACCTTGGCGAGTACCCAAGGATTAATTGTTTGGGGGCAGACATACCACATATAGATTAGCCCACAAATGTGTTTTAAAAGAAATTCCTCCCCTAAATCATACAGCGGACGGACCCTTACGCACAGATTTGCATTTAATAGTATAGTGAAACTTCAGACTCTCCCTGCGACACAAAATCTAGTAACGCTCCTCGCATTACCCCCATGCTGAGGTGATATTTTCGCCGAAAATAACTGCCTCGGGTGCCGCGGTGCAGTTTCCAACCCGTCCATTGCTGCCAGCACACGCTAATCTTCAAGCAGATCTTTTTGGTGGCTGCAGGACAGTATCAAATTGGCAAGACAGGACCAAATTGGCAGTGCAGTTTCCATTTGCCACTGTTGGACAGGCGTAAAGAAAAAGATACCAGTTCTAAAAAATAAAAGTTCGATAAAAACGCCTAAAACACTGCAAACCTAAACCGAAGCCTAAGCCTCTGCTTGGAGAGTAAGCACACGTACAAAGGCACACGACATTGACAGTGGCGTCCTGAAATGCCGCCAAGTCGGGGGGTGAACTCCGGTAATGCCGCCGCGCCTTTACGGATTCACCGCGCGCTCGGCATGGGGTACAGAGTGCGCTCAATCGCCGGGATCTAGATGGGCCCAGTCCTGCGGGCGCGACTCTCTTGTTTTCTCTCCCGCCTGTTTCTCTTTTTTTTTTCAGCGCTCCGCCAGTCAAAGGAGAGGCAGGGTGAAGGGGGTGGTGAATTATTTATCGGACAGGCCCGGCTCTGATCCCGCGTAAATTGGCTGCTGGCTGCCGTAAACGCCTGCCCGGATTCAACCGAGCTCTCGGGGAGGTGGGCCGAAATCGCCCCCATCTATTCATTACTTGGGGGGAGGGGGCATTGCGGCAATGGTATAACTCGCTAGAAGGGAGCGAAGATAATACCCTCGCTTCTGTAACGTTTAAATCCTCTAAAGGAAATTGAAGATGAAGTTCTCTTTGTTAAATATTGAATGCTCTAGATGTGATGTTTTTGCGCAATAAGCTGTTCTCATTTCTCAAATATAAGTACAACAGATTTCAAGAGACTCAATGCTACAGATCAAAATGCAACAAGTCTCATAATGCAAAATAAATATATGCTAACGACTGTTTTGTCATTTTAAAACTCCGAAACCTTTAGATAGCAACGAGAAAAGCCCTGTCCTTGGTGCTGAACTTCCTTTAGGCTGCCATAGTTGATCACTATTGCACCACGCACCAATTATAACATGTACGCGGCGTCAAAATGGCGATAATCTTACAGTTTTAATGATACCAAAAGAGCAAGACTATCTAGATACCCTTTCCCTCGGGACCTTACATGACTTTACCTCCCTAATTCTGAGCGTGTGTGTTATCTGGCAGACTCAAATCGGTGCTGTCTCGCTCCCGCATACACGTACATGCGTGCAAAACAGCAGAACCGTGTATCCAGAACCGTGCTTTATCTAGAACCATTCTGGATAGTCCACGTGTATCCAGAACCGTGCCTTGGGCAAATTAAATCTACGTTCTTGAATACGCGGAGACAATCCAGAACCGTGCCCGATCCTATCCCTAAAAGATTCAGGCATAGAACTAGATAGGCACGGTTCTGGGTACGATAGGATAGGGCTATTCCATTCAAAGCAGAGGAGGGACCTACTTAATCAAAATGTATGAAGAAGTAGAATGAAAATAAGCAGATTGAGTGAAACATTGCCGAGTGAAAATTAAACATGCGTCCCTAGATAATTCTTAAAGAAATAAAGTGTGTGCCTTACTGTATGTCTTTTCTAAACATTTTTGCAATGTCAAGTAACTCAACCCAACGGTTGAGGGTAATATAAAATGGAATATGCGAAGTGCTGTTTGGGGGTGAATGCTGCATCGCAACTGGTGTTCGTTCTAATGATCCGCTTAGGGCCGTGAACCACCTGGTATATAAAATATCGGCAGCAGTCAAGTGATTTTTACGCCGCGCCTTCCTTTAAGGGCGTTAAAAGTGGGGGAAATCGAGGACTCGGTAAACCTGGGCTGCTATAAGGAGACGGGCAGGAACAATTCCTCATGACTAAAGTCATGAACCTCCGCAGACAAATTTGAGCTTGTTGCGCCCAGGAACGCCGAAGATCAAAACGCACTCGAAAGGCGACGAAAAAATATGACCTCCACTCAAGTATAACGGCGTACACCTCTTTGCAATCTACCAGTCCTTGTTGTATACAGTCAAGTTTACACTTATTTTCCACTATTGATAAAAAAAATGCAATATTTCAGCACTTTGTTTAGTGTAACAACGATCAACAACAGAACATGAAAGGTCGGGGACGAGAAAGATGACCTCCCTTCAAGTATAAAGTGGGATCAAGCAAGGTTGAACTTATTTTCCGCTTTAATTCGTAAAAAAAATCAACATTTCAGCACTTTGCTTCGCGCAACAACGATCAAAAACACAACGCGAAAGATCGTGGACGAATTCGGAAAAACACTTTTGTAAAAAAAAATCAATATTTTTAGCGCATCGCTCAGCTTAACAACGATTAACAGCAGAATATATCCTCCTGTACATGGTTTTGACGAGCTTTGGCGACGTTTGGGAAGTTAACCATTCCATTCCACAAGTCACTGGCCTGGGCTTCTGAAAGAAGGGCAATTTTCCACCCTTCAAATTAGTATCAAGTCAGTGATTCTTTGGTGAGTCGAGGTTGCATACATGTATATTGGAAGTTACATGAAGACTAGAGTATACAAACATAACAATAGCAGTTGATACAAAGGTGAAACGTCATCAAAGTAGGTTTTTAATTGCTTGACTTTGTCCTTTTCTGGCAACCAGAGGATAGTAGTAGTATGTGGCCATCTCATCCTTAGTATTTGAGAGTGGCAAGAAATTTGAGAATGAAAAATAGCGAAAAACTAAACGGTGCCTAGGATAAGGTGGCATTGCCACTTCATTTTGCCTGTAACAAAATCTCGGACTGCTCGCATCTACCCTGTCCCGTCCAGGGCTTTAGCGTCGACAGGAAAATTAAAAACGCAGACTGTGATCCAGGATCACTTTTTAATTGCAACCGGATAGTTATTTCAACAGGATTTGGCTGATAGCCGCTCGAAACAATAGTTAGAAGACGCCTGATGACTATTTGGAAATCTCAGAGCCCCAAGTAGTCGTCAAGCCAGGGAAAGAAGTAGTCATTACAGGGACGGTTCAAAAACATTCTGTATGGAGCAAGTTAGGTGGCAGATTCTTCACTGTTTGGACGAACTGTATGAATCAGAATACAAAATCCAAGTAAAAGCTACATTTTCTATGAATTCCCGTGTATTTTTGCGTGATGTTTTGAGCAAATGTCCTTCTTAAAGTGCAGAATACACCCTACGTAATGGCCAAAAATGGCACGTCCCTGCTGAAATCAATGCGCTCCTCTCGGCAACCAATCAGAAGTGGCGAGCGGCGGGAACCACCTGAAGCTCTTCTCTCTCTCTCTCCCACCATGGCGGCCATGCCATGCCGTCCCGGGACGTACGGACAAATTAGCCGGCATCGATCTGAAGCCAAATTACCTGCACAGGACACCCAGCTGTCCTAAAATACGACGTGTACGAAAGACCCTTAAGTACAGTTACATGCCCCAGGGTGTGAGGTAGCGTCCTCGTTTGAAATCGGACCTATGTGAGCGGTATATGAAGAGAGGACGGTCCCACGAAACAGGGGATGGCTGTGTAGAAATCGCATCGCCGGGCCCCCTCTGTTTCTCTCACACACAACAAAGTCAGGAGACAATCAAATCGCCGTGAATGTCGTTTAATGTCAGGAATTACACAGTGGCGCTAGGCGTCATCACTTTACACGCCACGACACGGTACACTCCACGTACGGCGTATTTTGTCGTGTTGGTGTGGTCTAACTTTCAGCCAACATGGCCTCCCGAACAACAATTTGCCGTTTTCGGCTACAGGAGGAAGAAAGCACTATCCCTTATACGCCTACATCGTGAGCTATGGCTCTTAGTCATGTATGAAAGTGCCATTTCTTTAGCGTCCGCTTGTGTCTTGTGGGGTATACAACATGGAACAGAGCACATGCATTGTCATCACTCTCTGTCTCTGTTACTCACGTTTCAACATCCTATTTCTTGCTGTCTGGGGACCAGTCAAAGCTAGGGGTACCTACGAAAGATCGCGTTCGATCACACTCTTCACGGGCGAAATCAAATCTAACAAATTGTGTAATACACAAAAACTTTGTCTTTCAAAAGAGTAAGAAGAATGTTTGGTGTGAGGATGGGAGTCAGTGGAATAACTAGGGATGGAGACAGGCTGGCTTGTGCTGACTTGCACCAGACAGGCAGATGTCCCGGCGTGGAAAATGCAAAAGTAATCGATCTTTGCCAGTGCCACTAAGTACGTGTAAAATCGCCGATTTTCATTTCTACTTTAGCACTGCCGCCGAGTGAGAAATCATTTTTAGTGCCGAAAGGTCCCTCAATTAGAGCCACGGCACCTGGTAGTGTGGCCTGTTTTGCATATATAGGACCGGGAATAGGGAGGGGAATTATGGCCCGGGGAGGGGAAAATTGAGCTACATTGATTGATTTGCCAATTAGGACTGTGGAAAGCAGTTACATCGGAAATAAACCGCAGTAGGACCGAGAGTGACGCACGCTGGAGGGCTGGGGAGAGCTGTCCGATCCGAAATGGCGGGCATTCAACTTGTGTGAGCGGCGCACACGGGACGGCGTGCAGTATGGCCGCCCGCCAGCCCTGTGCGCGGGAGGCTGGGAGAGAAGACTTAATTCCCCACGCCTACAAAACCGGCCGGCTTGGTAGAATATCTAATCGATGGGAGGGCTGTAGAGAGAATCTGTAAACGTACCTGATTTTTCACGGGAACGTAGAGTATCCCCTTCTTGGTGGGCGAGTCGTTGTTGTTTCCCAGAGGGGACAGAACGAACCCTTTGGATTTCACCCAGAAGCGGAACTTGGCGTTGTCGGTGGTGGGCTTCTCGTCGCCCGAGAGGTACCGCGTGATGCGCCGGTACTTTTTCCGGGTCACCGTCTTGGTCTTGCCGCTGTCCCCGTAAGTCTGGACGGCCCATGTCTGAAACTCGCGGTACATATGCTCCCGTTGGGACTTTCCTCCGTCCCGTTCTGCCCCCACTGTCCCGGCTGCGGACATCTTGTTTTCCAGCCCGTGTACAGACTGTGTGTTCCCTCAGTGCAGGACGGTCGAACGCTTGGAATAGAACTTCCGAACGCGGGACGGGTTCTGATATTCTTTTCGAATACCGTCCCGAACGCGATGTAGCAATAATATTAATAACAACCAAAAAAGGCGACCCTGCGCGCGAGGCGAGCGTTACTGGCAGCTCTAGCTCGGCGCCGGCTCAGGTGTTTTGAACCCTTCGTCCTGCAAAAAGGTGCAGGTGGGCGAATATATCCTCATCAGTTGTCTGGGGCGAGAATTCCAGGCGCGGTTGCTGGCCGGGCGGGGCACGCATCGCATTTACCTCTCGGAGCTCTCCTTTCTCCCTGCATCCCGGGCCGGGAATGGGAATTTTCTAATTTGGTCTCCTTAGAGCGATCCACGCTCCTTGATGTGTGGGATACCGAGTGCTTGCTGTTCTGTTATACCACCTGGAGCCCGGGACAGAAAAGAAGAAAAAATACCTTCAATCATTCGGCACGGGGCAAATAATATAAGAATCGGCGAGAAGAAAATAACGCGTTTAAAAATTCTATAGCTACAAGGGCATAACGTTAATAACTTTGCAAGATAATCAGCCTGCAATCATGACTATACTCTTAATACAGCTCGGATTGTTTTTGTTTTCATATCGGCAATATATGTATTGCACATCACAATCTGGATACGGTGTATCTAGGCCACTGTGCTGATTTCAGAACCAATACCAGACATACAAGCCCCAACATGTCCCTGTTTCTCTTCCATGGAGTGAAACTGATGACTGACCTAGCTGTCAACGCGAGGACTAGAAAAGAAGAAGTAAATCACGTGAAAATCGAGAAATCACGTGGCAAGCAGATTGATGGAAAAGTTAATATGACCCGTAAAACAATTAATCCCCATGTATCAATGAAAAAATAAACTCTTCTCTAAGAACTGACAAAGGCAAGCAAAAGCGATATGCAAATTAGAATGCAGAAAAGCTATACTGTCCTCATACAATGATGTTAGATATATATAAACCTGTCTATTCTATTGGAGTGTAAATGTGGGCAGCACAGGCCTCTTGCCCGTCACACAAATCGTTAAAGGTAGTCCCCTCTACTTCTTCTTCTCCAAACCGCAGCTCAGAGATACACGGTATAAAAGAAGACTTATGCGTAGCTTAGTGCCATGCAATGCAGGACAGTGTGGTAAAGGCAGTGTGATGCGGCGTGGTGCAGAATACCGAAGTACTGCGCGATGTTACAGACTTTTGTACGGCGCAGCGCGCGTGTGCATGCAGCGAGGTTCACAAGTAGCTGGAAAATCGTTAAAATCTCCATGCAATGGGGGACTGGTAGTATCACTCTGAATAGGCGGGGATCTCGCTATCCCAGGCCGGCGCACAGAAATCCTCCGAAATTACCCGTGGCCCAATCGACTGACTCTCACTCTCTCTCTCTCTCTCTCTCTCTCTCCCTGCACAAAATGGTTGCGATTTGAGGCCGCGGAGAAAATACGAGCGGGGCGTCGGAGCGAGACGGTCTATCAGAGCCGCGGTCCGAGATGGGGATCTGGAAAAGCCCGTCCGAGAGGGCAGAGATATCCATCAAACTCGCACGTAAAGGGGGCATGCAAGCTAGCGGGGCCCGGGCAGGCCGGCCTGCGCTTCAACATCAGAAAAAATACTCATAATTTCGCCTGTTTTCTTGCTTGCCAACAGTAAATCAAAGACGGGAACGGTGAAAATGATTACGCTGGTTGCAAAGTGTAACCGGCGTTCGCATCAACATCAGAAGAAAATCTCTCTATGTTTACCTTCGCAGAAGAAAAACAAATTATTTTTGCTCTGTTTCTTCTTCATCTCCTCCAAACAAAAAAGGTCAACGACCTGTACCAGACGGCTGTCACCATGGTAACTGCTGTAGCAAACTCCCTGTGGTGTTGGGTTACATTATGCAGCAAGTGGCAGGACTGAGTTGGACTCGTGTCAATGTGGTCGAGTAAGAATAAACAGAGCAGCAGTTTATTAGTCTTGACCATGTGAAGGTGAGCATTATGCTTGGGAAATGTTACCTTTTTAGTTTCCAAGAGAATATCAAAGACGCGGGAACGGTCAGAATGATTACCCTGATTGCATGCACGGTGTAACCTTCGTGGTAAGGTAAGTATACGGTTCTTCGCGGAAGTATCAACAGTAACAACAGCACGGAAGACGGAAACTAAATATGCATGGTTCCTCGCTACCAGCACAGCTGCGAGGGAATAACGTATATCTTTACGGGCGAATCTCTGCTGTGAGGTGGAAGGGAATTTGCGACCCTTTTCAGGATAGGTTGAGAGGCCTGTACAACAGCGATCGGTTGGGAAACTTCGAGAAGCCTGTGGTAACTTATTACTTAAGGGTTCATCCTTCGTATGTCCGGAAACCAATAATGGACATATTTTGACTATGACTCAAACCTACATCGTCGACACAAAACGGCTTATACCTGACTAACGTTTAAACTGCCTACAAAAATCATTTAATTTTACATATTGATCCATTTTTACCTGTTATCTCTGTATTTTGGAACACTCATTTGCTGTTATTTGTTGTTTCGTTATTTGTTATTGATTTGTATTTGTGGTGAGACTAAAATTAGCGATTTGCTAGAGTTGCCCACTCCGGTGTTCTGTACTCTTTATATCGTTTCATATTGTTGGGCCTTTTCATACTCCACTGCACACAGAAAAGAAATCAAGCGCAACAATAACTATATCAAAAGTAGCATTAGCATTACTTCTTATAAATTACTGTTTATCATTTTATCATGTTCTTGCAATTAGCCCTCGGGCATGGATTTGCAATAAACTTTCAATAATTTCAGTTGTTTCATAGAAAAAACGTTGAGACTCTCGTCCTCACAGTTGACAAATTCGTGACCGGTTGCAGAATATCGGCGATATTGGTGATGCCGGGGAGAGGGCGTGTGACGGTGCGGAATGGTCCGCTCAGATAATACACACACCAAAGATAGACAGAGAACAAAGCTGGGCAGAGATCGTCTGTTTTCCGACGATAAGAGAAAAAACAGTACAGTTCCATTTGAACAAACCAGTTGTTGTATTACAGAAATCGCGATAATCTTTCTGTAGTGCCGGTTGGTGTCAAGCAGAATATTACATTTCAGGACTTTACAATAGTTCAACGGCCGGGTATATCATCACCATCGCACATCGGTAACACCCATACCTTCATAACTTCATACCTAATCAATACTAAAACGATGCTCTGTCGAGTGGTGTGCAGTGGGGGGGGGGGTATTCTGAATCTTCCCTTCCACAGTTCCAAATCATATATGTTTCGTCTACTTGGCCATCTTTGTACATCGTGGCGTTAGAAAGTGACCATAGTAAAGGGAAACACGAAATCGGTGATTTCAGACTTCCAGGAAGTGTTTGAGTTTTTTGTAAATGTATTGGAACTGTGTTGTATGATAACCGATTGAAATATATCAAAGAAAGGATTATTACTCATAACTCGGTTGAATGACGTAACGTACTCCGGTATTACACCATGGTTTATGTTTCGTCCCATGATTACACAGTACATATTCCTAGCGACCTCATAACACATCATACCACACAGGGCATGCCAGGCCAGGTCATTACCCTTTCAATCAACCGAATCCCAATCTCCGCCCACCCACTTCCAATCCTCCCTGCTGAGGATGAGAAACATACAAACGCCCCTTAGACCAGCGCAGCCCAAACCATTACTTCCGATCCGGAAGTGATAACTTCAGTGTGAATTGAAAAAAAGTAATCAGTACAAACATTGCGCTAATTGTGTTGTTTCCAGATCCATCCTCAGGCACACTATGTCAAAGGAATTATAGATGGGTGGAAAGCTACATTTTACAACTGCATGGATAACATTTCAAGCTGTTCAAAGTAGCGTCGATTATTTGAACGCGAAAATTCCGAAAACCCTTTTTAGGAAACCAGAATTCCGAGCTCACGCCGTTGCATACAGCCCTAGCGATGAAGTCGCCTGATTGGCCCACAAGAGGACTCCAACGTGTTGCAGCAAGGTCAAGCCATGTTGGCAAGCGACCGTTGAGAGGGGGTTTACATGTGGAGAAGGCGGGAGGGATCCTGTCAGGCATTCAGAACGGCCTGATGCGGCACATGAGCACTCTCCACGGAGCCCTCTCGTTATATTAGGACAATGAATTGATTAACTACACGATGGGTGACCTTTCGTACTGCGTTTTGACACACTAACATACTTTAAGTTTTCTCAGTTTGTATGTTTGTATCTGAGTGACCGTACAACGGCCAAACTTGGATTTGACTAATAATTGGAATATGTACATGCAAAAGTGGGATTTCAAAGACAAAGAAACACACAAAACGTATAAAACTTAGTTCCTTATCAATAAAATTCGTTCAGCGACCTGTCAAATCTTTGACCGGTCAGCGGCCGCAGCCTACAGTATGAAGGATTTTGTAATTACTTCTTTACTGGTTTTGAACCAATTCAATGTTCGTTCGTTGCATCAGCATATATATGCTGGTTCGAGTGATATCAATGCATCCTCTTCCTGTGCGATATTCCACTCGAGAGTCCTTGTGTACCCTTGACGTACCGCACGGTTGCGCGGTGTGTGAGTGTTCTGGTGTTTGTTAATGCAGGGGTCCTGGAGTGGAGTGCGACAGGGTGGGATATGTCCGATGTACGGGCCAGGCAATTTCATGACTTTTTTTACGGCATGTCTTTGAAAAAAAGCCGAAACACTCCTATCACTAGTTTAGCTGAACGATTTATTCAGTCTCTGCTTTTTGGCTACACAGGACATTCGTGACTGGAAGGATTTTAGTTAAGATTTTAAACTGCATGGTTCTTTTGACAATGACATACGATATAGTAACTAGAAATGTACCATTTACAAAGCAAATTCATACTGCTTACATTCACATGGTCCAGCTCAACAAACTACTGCTCTGTGTATTCTTACTTAAACACATTCATATATATATGGCGACCAACCCCTCCAACTCTGCCTTGCTACATAATGATACCCACCACCACAAAGTGTCTGCTACAGCAACAGTTACAAGGTGAAAGCCGTCTGGTCCAGGTCATTGTCCTTATGTGTTCGGGCAAGCAGAAGAAGAAAACAACAGGAAAAAGCAGCGATTTGATTTGCAGCCTTACTACCCTAGTTCTGTGGCTGATGTGTTGTGTTCTTCCCTTACTTACTATCTTTCTATCACTGATTCGTCACCCTTCCTCCGTTTGTTATCCCCAATCGACAGTTGGCATGTTGAAGACGGATAATAGGGGACGATTGGGTACCGAGATTAACCAGAAGCACAATCTTGAATGATATCGACAGCTCTCCTCCTAACAATCTCCAGTTCCTGACTTCTTTTTTTCAATCATTAGTGGAAGAAGAGGTCCCACTTTTTCTGCAGAGTGGGTTTTGTGAGGTTGTGGGGGTTGTAGTGTTCTTTTTGCCATTCCATGACACAGTCGATGAAATAGTAATTACAATAAGAACAACAAGGGTGCGTCGGTATTCTCGTTACTAGTATATGTTTGATACGATCCAGAGTTATCTGATTATGTATTACACCGGCCTAACGGCAGGATACATTTTTGGTAAGATTCAAATAATACAAAAACATTGAAAGAGGAGCGGTATTACTTATGGTGCCAAATCTTCAGAACATCATATGGTTTCATCAACGTGTCAATTAAGAACCAGACGCGGTAGAACATTCTATAGTTAGACATTTTAAATTACAATTTCCTGAAACTGGGCGCAGACGCAGCAGCTTTCTCCAACGTTTGAAATGAAATTTCCATAAGCAAGTTATTTTTACTGAATTCATATTCAATTTGCCACAGACCCAGAGGCGATGTGCTGCTGTCGACTCAAGCTATTCTAGGACATACGGGTAGAGGCAATTGTTGCTGGAATCGTGATTATTCGATGCAACGTTTTCGCTGTGGCACGTTTCTTTCTAATGATACAGCCTCTACCAGTCATCATTCATACATACACAAATCCTTACCAAAAGGGACCTTCTACGGTCCTTTTTGGTACGTAACGACACGAAAATCTAATATAGGTGCTGTTGACAATGACAAGGAGGTGCTACAGTGTTGTGGCATCAACATCCTGACTCCACATCGTCTCCTGATAATAACGTACCGTCCCTGGCCTGTTTCCCCATGTCTCTTGGCAATAACGTACCGTCCCTGGCCTGTTATGTCCCGTTGTCTTTCCTCCTAAGACAATATTGTACCATCCCTGGCCTGTTTCATCTCCACTCGTGACAATAACGTACCGTCCCCGGTCGGTTTCACCCCGTCTCCTGGCAATAACGTACCGTCCCGGCCTGTTTGCCCCGTCTGCAGACAATAACGTACCGTCCCCGGACTGTTTTGTCCTGCCGTGCGCCCCTGTGGTCCCGGCTGACCCGCACGGGGAGCTGCGTTCTGCCGCGTGCCGCGTGGGTGTGATCGGAATTGAAATCTGGTTATGTGGCGCCCACTGTTTCCTACATACAGCTCGTTCGGTACCGAGCCGGTGCAAGGAATAACAACAGAAATACTTGTTGCGGGATAACACTCCCTTTCTACGGGTACATATGCGATTGCTGAGCGACCAAATATTTGATATGAATTTCATAGATAAAGAACGACTAGTATTTTATGCTTTTTGTTTTTATTACCTTCTGAATTATACTTCTGTATCTTGTATCATATTTCAATTATGGCATCAGGGGTCACACATCCAAATTTGGTGGCTCGGCGATCGCTGAGTCCAGTGGAAAGGGGGACTAGCTACCACTGTCATTTCAGCACCAAGGACATGTCCGCATTCACAGCGTTGTTATTCCGCGCAGAGGAAGGGAGAGACCTATGACTAAGTGTAACGGCTCACGTGCAACATGTCGCAAATTCCGCAGAACTAGGCCGGGACAAGCACGGCGGGGTCACCGGGCAGCATGAAAGGTTGCCATTTAGGGCCTGTCGCTAGGGGCACTTATCCGGAACAGTGGCTTGCTGTAAATGCGCAGGAGTCGCGCCTTTGTCACGTACTCAGATCGATCCCTGAGACAGGTCTGGGTCTTACAGTAATCGACTCCCCGTTGGACTGAAGATAGCAGACTAACATCGCGGGTTCAAAAACAGTAAAATTTTGCCACACGGGAAGAATAACTTGCCTGGGGAGTTTGGCCGGCGTTAGGGTTTTTTTGCCCGCGAAATGAAACCCTGATGTTGGGCTCACTCCCCTGGCCAGTCAGACCCTATTTTTGCCGAATTTTACCATCCTAGCCCCCTTTCGAAAGGCCTGGTGGGGAAGAGGGCTAGACTGAAGCCATCGATTAGCAAATCAAACACAAAAAAAAACTCCTTTATACCAAGAGGGTTTTAAACCTCCGTGTTTATACCAGGAGTACTGTCGTCCATTTCATGCCCGAAAAACCTTACATCGTTATTATTTATCGTTGTATTTTAGTCGTCTTGACTACTATACTAGCATGTCGCTAGGTCATTTCAATATCGATATTGTAACGTTGATGATATTTTCATTTTGATGACAACTTTAGGAATGCACATAAATACATCACAATTCAGTCTCAACGACTGCAACTTTAATTGCATAATAAAGTTTTGAAGGGGGCCGACTGGCAGTCTGCAGCGCTAACGATATGCGTAGAGAGTTATAAGGGATCCCGGGCCTGCTACGGTCTGGAGGCAACCGCGGCCATTCTCTTGCTTTGTTGCACGAGAACCATTACTGACCTCGACACCACTCGGGCAAGCGAAGCCAGAGAACGGCACTTATGATTTCTTTCAGACGGCGAGCTTCGGCAGCGAAGTCTCTTTTGTGGTTCACAACAAAGGAAACCGTGGATGCCTTTTCCACATCTCAAAGCCGAGCCTCGCCTCGCCGTTTAGATGTGCCAGAAGTAAAGACACGACCAAAGGTCGGACGTGCTGCAGCATCTACCATGAGAAGAGCGGCTCCCTTGCGTTCTGTCCACCCGGGGATTATGAAAAGAACCCTCCATTCAGCAGCACCGTTATTCCGTCCGTGTGATCCGGGTGGAAGGGTCGTAACTCGGTTGGGAACTGTTTGCGACCTTGTGTGACACACGCTACAATGACAGCACTGCTTAAAATGCCTTTTATTGCATACTGCTGCATACTGGACAAGGTGCCGGGTGCAGGTAACGTTGAAGATAACCTGCATCAGAAAAATTTTACCTGCACCACTCTGATTTATGGAAGTATGGATCTTACTAAAACTGTTCAGTAAAATGGTCATTATTGATTTTATTCTCAATAGGTAAAAGTCAATGCATCAACTAAAAATCCACATACACCTACATGTATATATAAACGTAGCACATGGGCCGGTGCAGGTTAGGTGAAGGTAGACGTCAGAAATACCTGAGAAGTATGCAAATGGCTTATTTCATGTACTTGTCATTCCTCTTAAGACATGGTTTTTCTTATCATAGTGAAAGTTTCCATTGCAAATTTTAGCCTAGAGGCTAATTTCAGGTACATGTACATGTAATATGACAATGAAATAAAAGGACGGACAATGGATACCAATATAACATGTGACTACTCCAGTCTAATTCTAACACTAAATTCTAACTTGTTAAATTATATGTGCTATATGTTAAAATTGAGTGGAATGGAGAAGTCTTGGCCACACTGTCTACACTGACTCAGTTTGAAGCCTTGATGAGAAAGTAGAGTGTTTTGATCCATGGAAGGTTCCACAGTTTGCCCAGCCTTTCTGTGTGATCCACCGTGTCCAGTAAGGTCATGTTATAATCACCTCCTGGGGGTGGCAGATTAACTACTGTTAGTGCCACTATTTCTGTTGTCTCATCTGAGCACTTTTTGAACTCTTGAACAACAAACACATGCACATATATACATATGAACAAACAAACACACACATGCACACACACAGTCACACACACACACACACACACACACACACACACACACACACACACACACACACAGATGGACACATACACACAAACACAAGTTTTAGTTACCTACATGTAGTCCATTTGTACGTACAATGTACTTTTAAGTATTCACCCTGTAAACCTCTAAGTGACTTATTCTTACTCACCAAGAAGCTGTTTTAATTCATCCTCTGGCACATGGTGGGGTGGACCTGAAAAGGGTAATTTAAACAAAAAGCCATTATAAAAGGTGTTGACATGGATTCATCCAAGATTCTCATACTTTTTTAAAGTGAAAAACTTCATATATTAGTAATTTAAAATTATAATACTTTGCCTTACATTGCACCTGTTTTAGTTATTGTGCAATTTGACTATACCTGGGAACAAGCTGGGCTCATACCTGGGAACAAGCTGGGTTCATAGTTCATGACCTCCATCAGACACCTCCCATCATGCTTCAGCAGGGTCTTCATCAGCTGGATGTACCTGAGAACAGAAAATTTTAAATTTCAGATATAAGATCGAAAATTTGATGGACTTGCCAGTGGTCAACTGAAAAGTTACAGTCTACAAAACTAATAAGCGACCCCTCCCCACCCCCATTTACATGCACCTTCCCCTCCCATGTCAAGAGCCGTCTGCCAATTGAAGTTCAACCTGGAAGAAGGAGAAGAAGAAGAAGAAAAGAAAAGAAAAGGCTTAGAATCTGAGGGTCAGCCGGTTTTTGCTGCTGAAAAAACTGAAAACACAACATTTTGTTTCCTAGGCCTAAGCCCTCCTGGCCAAACATACAGCTTTCAAGTGGTCCAGTAAGAAATCCACTTTGCTGCAGAGGAACTCAGCGGAAAGAGGGAGTGACAGAATGGGGTCAGCTGAAGCTTACTGCAGCAGACTCCCCACGGTTCGGCCATGAACTAACTGGACTCGGGAGATCACCTGGGCTAGCTTTATGTCCATTCCAGTTATCACAACCCCATCGAGCACTGTACATGACAGAAACCTGTTGTCAATATAGGACTTTGAATATTGGAGATGACCAGAGATAGATAGTTGAACATCTAGTAAGATGAGTGGTAAAGCTTGAAGGATTGGGGTAATGGGGACTGCTGTAGACAGTGGTTCTGGAGAATGACTCTAACGCTTCTCTATGACTTCTGTAAACATCAACATGCAGCAAATACGGTGGTGACTACTGGTAGACTTTGGATTTGAATTTCTCAGTTATACTTTTCACAGGTTCTGCATGAAACATTACAAATATTACTTTCGATTTGAATTTCTTTTTTTTCACTCAACATGCAAAATCAAGCAATAAATTTCACTGCTTCTGATGAAATGACATTTGAGCTCATTATGTGACAATTGATCACTGTTAGACACTCACTTTTCGTGATCAGCTTCGTTGATGGCCACAAACGCTCCCCTGTCCCAGATGGCATCAAACTGACCCTTGACCTCACTGTATAGGGCAAACACAAAAGTCAAGGATGAACAAGTAAAGGTCAGGGTCTTGTTGTAGAGTCTACATGAGTCTTTCAAATACCAGCACTAGCTTTTCAACAGATGTGACCACTACTAGCTAAAGGTAGGAACTGTATTGTGATCATAAATGCATCATAACAATGGACAGCAGTTAACCAATATGTTCTGCAGTTTACAAGCACATTGGCAGCACCTGTGCAAAAACTGGTGAATGCATTGTGCATAGCACTTCAGCATTAACATTTAATATCAGGTTCGTGATATTCCCTCAATAGTTTTCAAACATTGTGCTGGAAAAGTTATCATCTTGATGCAACATTGACCAAACATCCAAGAGAAAATGTGATAAGTCTGGGTTTTGCACAGGCCCAAAACTGCAGGCAGCAAATTTTTAGGAGTGGGCCTTAAGCTAACAGGGCTGGATTTAAGGCTAACTATCCTTCTACACTAGATGTAGTTTTTTGGTCATCCAGGTGAGAAGGTGTGAAAGTGAAGAGTAACATGCAGCAACACACACCTGCTGAAGTTGAAGTAGTCACAGATATAGATGGAGATCCTGCCATCCATTCCCTGTGGATATTAGATCAAAAAGGTCAGTTAGAAGCCTGGAGTCCAGCCACAGGGTAGCAGATCTTGGAGAGCAGCCTAAAGCTATTACAAGGCTGGACCCCAGGCTAGTTGGTTAGGGCCATGTAGCAAGTAAATTATATGGATGACATAATCTGCAGACTCCAAACTTAATGTGGGAGTGGAAAAAACAAGATGCTGTTATAAGCACCATTTAGGCACAGAGCCCCTCAGAGGTGTGGTATGAAGACTCTAAGTCTAAGCCAACTGCTATCCACTGCAGTGTCATGGACCCCTGCAGCTGTACAAGTGGATAGTGTTTAGGGCCTATTCTTTTTTTAATAGACATTTGAAATCTTTCATTTCAGCCCCATCTCATACAGTGTACTGATAATCACAGAGCACATCAAAACCGTAGATTTTACAGCAGCAGTTTTTTTATGGATCCATCCGCTTTTTAAAGAATTGGAAGTGCCCCTTATATTATTGTTTATCACTTTTCTACTAAACCATCACAACAGGTCCAGATATCACACTTTGAACCTTTTCCACCAACCCGTTCATCACATTTCATGAGGAGATCTGTACTTTTATCACCACTTTGGCTGGGTTAGATGCAGGGCTCAAAATACTTTTTTCTGCATGTACATGCACTGGTGCAGGTATAGCATTACCTGCTCTAGACAAATTCAATCTGAACCACTGAGAATTTAAGAATTTACAATGTATATGGTTCATACTAAAAACTGTTCAGAAACCATTGCCATTATTTTTTTTATACTTTGTAGATGGTAACAGTCAATGCATTAAATACATATCCACATAGCATACACTTCCTTATATTTAAACCAAGTACATGGACCAGTGCAGGTAGACATCAGAAACACCTGCACAATAATCCCAATTTCACCTGCACTTAGGTGCATATGCATCCAGCATTTTGAGCCCTGGAAAGGTTTGTGCCAGTTAACATCATCTGCCTGGGCAGCGAGGCCTCTCTCCTGTCTCAGACATGGAGACTGCTGGGCTCGGAGCCTTTATCACTAGTGGCTGTTTCAATATCCGGCTGTCAGAGCAGCTATCCAAGCATCCTGCCATAGTCTCCACTGGACTAACAACGCGGGTTCAAAAACTGTAAAATTTAGCCAAATAGGGAGAATAATTGGCCAGGGGAGTTTGGCCACCGTAGAGTTCATTTGCTTGCTTTGGAGGGGAAAATCAACCCTCCTCTACGGACTGACTGTTCTGGTCAATTATTTCCCTTTTTTGCCAAATTCTACTACTTCTACCCCTATATATAGGAAGGCCTGGTGGTGGCTGGAAAAGGGGAATCTGAGCCTAAAGCAGTTGTCATTTTAGGCAGTTTAATCTTTAGATTCTTTTATAGATCTTTTATATTTAGATTACACTCACCTCCACCATAGTGTAATATGGCAAATAATTTTTTGGGAGGTTGAATTTTGCATACACGTGTGTGTATTGTTCTCCACACCTCACCTGGTATAGTTTCCCATTCACTGCAGGTGCATCAGTTATCGTTGGCTGAATGTCAGACTCCTGAAAAAACTGGCGCACACCATCCTCCACTCCCTCCACACCAACAATGGTATGTCCCTGGTCAGCAAGCCTGCAGGAAGACATACACATGTTGAAGTGGTATAATTCTATACTGCACTGGCTGTGTAATGTTACGTTCAGTTGTTACCTGTGTGCATGGAAATATTATTGTGTTTGATGTGTTTGTTTGTGTTTGTTTGTTTGTATGTTTGCTTGTGTGTCTGTAGGAGCCCTACCTACCAAATATCAAGACAATCCACCTTAGCCTTCTTGCTGTTGACACACAGACTCACAAACACACACACATGAATGCTACCAAAAAAGATAGCCTTCTTGGCAAAAGTAACAATCACCTACCACTTCATGTCCACAGCTTTTCCACACAGAGGAAACAGGAACTTCAGCCCAGATCTGCCACCTGTCAGCTGTTCCAGGTGCTTCGACAACATCCTGTAGAAATGGCAAACAACGAATAACAAACTAGTGCACAGTGAAACAGTCATGGTAACCCTGATGAACATGACAGGCGCACCACATCCCAATCTACCAAGATTTCTACATTACTTCTGACACAAAACATAGCCTCCTTTTCAGGCGTTCCGGGATAGTTCATTTGGGGGGGGGGGGGGCTTATCTTATGATCAAGCATAGATCGCATACTTCAGAAGCTCTGCCAAATTCCAGGGACGGCATACTAGGGTTGGTGGCCGGAGCTCCTAATGCGTGCAACCTACGTTTGATCAGAAAATAAGCCCCCACCCCCCAAGAAAAATGATCGATCCTGGAAAGCCTGAAAAGGAGGCTACACAAAACACACGATCAGTCAGACTCACGGGTGGACACCCTTCACATGGAACTGTGGGTCCTTCCCATCATCCTTTGCCCTCAGCCAGCCCTTCTCCCACTGCGGCAGCTTCACCACGCCCGGCTGCTCATATGGGATGTCATTAGTTGCCATGGTACGTAACAGTTGCTGCAGACAGAAGGAAAGAACACATTGGCAGAACGCAAGTTGCACCTGCAACAAAACCCGTAATGTATTGTGCATAGCACTTATATAAAGTTATATTTGCACAAATAAGGTTAATATGATAATAAAGCACCAAGTTCACAAAAAGTCGCAAATATATTTCATTTCTTGTTTCTTATCTTAATGATTCTCTCACACTAGTTGTAAGTGGGGATTATATAATATCAAGTTTTCCAAATGTTTTCTTATGAGTGTTTAAGTGTTGAAATTGAAAATTAGTGACCATACAATTAATAATAATGTATTTTGGAAGCTTAACACAAAAGTCTGCTACTGCAGTACAGATGACAGAAAAGGTTTTAGAATTCATGTCAGCTCGACAGTTTTTTTTGGTCTTCCTCAAGTTTTTTTGGTCTTCCTCAAGGGGAGGAAGACCAAAAAAAACGTAAAAGTAGAAAGACGTATTAAAAACGCGAAAATACTGCCAAAATACCGAGCGACCCTACCTCTGCTTGGAGAGTAGTTAAACACCGATTGTAGACCACCCACGTTCACATGAATGAATATTAAAACCTCAAAGTCAAACCTTAATCAAAACCAATTTGGTGGGGCCAGACTGTGCCAGCCACATTTCGACTTAAGCACCTCAGAAAACTCAGGCGAAAGACGAGGTGACAAGTGCTGGGCTTGGTAAGGACTTTAATCAGGATGATAATGTCACCCCACCACACCAAGCCCGGAGGGAAAGGGAGAGAGGAAGTGGGTAGAGGTGTGGACGGCAGGAGTGGGCGTAGACCAGTCGAATATGTGAACAACAAAAACAAATAACAGTGGCGAAACGCGAGATAACGAGTTCCGGACTAGAAGTTAAGCTACAAAAACGCAGGAAAGTAAGTACGGGACTAGGAGTTAAGCCTACCAAAAGTAGGTACCTAGTTCATGACTATAAGAAAACAATTTCAGAACTAGTAGGTAAGTACTACAGAACTTGAGTAACAATTTCGGAACTAGTAGGTAAGTACTACAGAACTTGAGTAACAATTTCGGAACTAGTAGGTAAGTACTACAGAACTTGAGGAACAATTTCAGGACTAGTACGGTAAAGTACTACACAACTGAATAACAATTTCAGGACTAGTAGTTAAGGACTACAGAACAACTTGGATACCGTTAGTAATCAGTAAAACGATTAGACTGGCATTAATTACGCAGGAACTAACTTCGTGTACAAGAGCGGGAGCGCGCGTCAGATGAATTGAGACCAGCGGTATCGGCTAGTGGGGGGGGGGGTCAGTCAGTGGGGCCGCGAAGGATTTGTAGTGCGATCCGTTGTGCGAAGTCTTTGCGTTGTTCTAAGGATGAATCGAGGTATACTGTGAAGGCGTCCGACGACCAGTCTCCTAGAAGTTTTATTGTCTGCGGGTCTGCGCCACAGCGCCAAGCGAACGTAGCGCCGCCCCGCCGGAAGCTGTGCCCGGAGTAGTGCTCGTCTGGAAGGCCGGCCGCTCTTAGAAGAGACTTCAGGTGAGTGACGAAGGTGTCGTGTGTGAGAGAAACTAGCTTGCCGCTGCAGTCTGGGACCAGAAATGCAGGAGCGTCCGCGGGTGCGGGGATGAGTTGAATCATGTGAAGGAAGGCTTGTTTGGGACAGAGTGGGTGTCCAGGTAAGGCTGCTACCGGTAAGAGGAGCACTTTTTGTCTGAATTGGATAGTCTTTGACCACGTCACGCGCACTATAAGGCCGGGAGGAGAGAGCTGGATCGACTGCCTGGAAAGGTGTTTGTCGATAGAGAAGTCTGCCTGTGACTTAGGGACGAGATTTGATTTTCGGAGGAGAGTGAAGAACGCTAAGCAGAAGGCTGTCCAGAGAGTAGCGTCTGCCTCCGACCAGCCGTGTCGTGGGATGATGGAGATCCCGTTATACGAGGGGAGGAAGGTGCGCCACCAGTGAAGATCTTTCCTGAATTCAGCGTCGATCTGAAGGCGTTGGTGCCTGTTGCGGAACGCCCGTAAGAAGAGGATCATTCTCGAGATGAAGAGCCGCCCCGGGCGGACGCAGGTGGCGACGAAATGCAGCTTGCCAATCAGGGATTCGACGTCACGGCGGCGAGCACTGACCTTCAGAGTCCACGTGTGCAATTCGGCCAACGTATCGTCAATGCGAGCTGGCGGCACTTCTACAGTCAGGATACCGAATCCACAATACGTCCGAGGAAAACGAGGCGGGTCGTGGGCGGAACGGCTTTTCCTCAGCCTCTTGAAGTCCCAGTTCGCCGAGGAGTTGTCCAGCGGTAAGGCAAGCGGGGCAGCGATGGCGGTGTCCGCGCCGCCGAGATCGTCTAAATAATTGACACACGCGTAACCATCTTGAGCGTAGATATACCTCACCGCGTCGGTCATGCGTTGGCAGGCTTGGGCCGCGCTGCGAATCCCGAAGGGGAAGACGACGTCAGCGTAATAATGACCATCCCAGTGGAATCCTAACAAACTATAATCAGAAGGATCTACATAGATTTGCCGGTACGCCCGGCTGAGATCACGCTTGAATAGGAGACATCCCGGACCGAGGGCGACGACCAGGGCTACCAGGTCGTCTAAGGATGGGTACTTAAGCGTTAGGCGTTCCCCTAGGTATGTGTCAGAGGGGATGCCCGCATTGACGGACGATAACTCAGGAAAACTGAAATCAACCACGATGCGCCGTTTGTCGGAATCTTTCTTAGGCACAGTTTGTAAGGGGCTGCATACCAGAGGTGAGGAAAAGAAACTTGGTTGGATGGGGCCTATGGTAGCTCCATGCGCCAATTCAGTACGGATATAGTCATTGACATGATCTGCATAGCGCAGGGCTGACGGGTGATTCGTCAAGGGCACACGAGGTGATGAGGATGCGGTGTAGTTTACAGGGAAGCCGAATTCCAGCAAGTCACAGAAGTCTGGATCGGTGTAATCGCGTAGATAAAGGCGCCAGGCGGCTATGTTCAATCTACACGGAACCGGGAGACGGGCGTGTTTGTAATTAGGGACCCCGGATCTGCGCACTATGTCATGCCAGTCGCGGAAATCTGAGAAGCATGGAGCAGGCTCAATTCTAGGCTTTGAGACCATGGGAAAATCTATGGCCAGCGCCGTGGAGGTGAGACAGCCGGTCTCGTGCGAGCGTGGCTCGAGCGTTACTGGGGCAGCCGTGGCCCGCTGGGGAAATTCATCTGACATCGCGCTCGACATGGGAGCTACAGCAGATGACATGTCTAAAGACGTATGGCCCGGCTGGGGGCGACTCAACGGGTCAATAAACAAACCAAGAGCAGAAGAACTCGCCAGCCCCTCAGGGTCAGGCTGGTCGTGTCCTCCAGGAGAAAAGCTAACATTGCTACTAGTAGATATCGGCATTGTTGCTAGCAAAGCGTCAGAGGCACTAGAACAAACATCAGATAACATGTCTAAAGACGTATGGCCCAGCTGTGGGCGACTCATCGGGTCAATAAACAAACCAAGAACAGAAGAACTCGCCAGCCCCTCAGGGTCAGGCTGGTCGGGTCTGCTAGTATATATCGGCATTGTGGCTAGAAAAGCGTCAGAGGCACTAGAACAAACAAATACATCGAGTACAGGAGAGGGATTCAGCATCCCGTAATGGGGAAGCTGTGTGTGTCCCTGTGATATATCATCAACGCTCATGAAATGTGATACATCTCGCACATCTGAAACTGTAGCGTCAGAGAAACATATCTCGTCATGAACAGAATGAAGACTAACCTCGCTAAACGACGACACCGGCGACACAAATGAACTAGACAAACTTACGGTTGTGATGGGTGTACATTTATCTAGTCAGTCTGAGTCCGTAGTAGTTTTGTCGTCAGTCGTCGTCTTCTCGGCTCCGTGTTTACGACGGCAGACAACGTCCGAATGCTTGAACTTCAGACCGGTCTTCTCCAGGCAATACGAACAGTGATGATCGAATCGACAGGACTGAGAGCTGCACTCGTTCCGTTGAAACTTGTAGCACGGGCGAGTGGTCTTGTTGTTCTTCTCCTTCGCTCCGCTCGTGTTGGTCGCCGTGTACGGTTTCATCTTCGTTGGGTCCCCGTCGAAATAGTAATCTTTCTCGTCTTGGAAGTCTGTAGACCAAAGTCCCGGCGAGGCGAGAGCTCGTTTCGTGGCAGCGGAATGAAAAGTCCGGACCACTGGCCATTTGTACCGGTTCATCTTCTGGCACGTGTACTGTAAGAGTGCCAGCCGCCCCTTCATCTCCCAGGCCGGCATGTCTGGCTGCTGCAGAAGCCCCATCATTCCCGCCAGAAACTCCTCGGCGGAAAGATCGTCGTACTTTTTGCTGTCAGCGGTGTCGAAGCTATGCACGAAGGATTCAGGAGATAGCGGCTTACCTTTTTCAGGTTTCTTCCCAGGGCCGAGGAGCGTGCTGTACTTGTGTTCGACAGCGTCGATGAGTGGCTTGTTCCTCCTCAGCTCCTCCAAGCTCAGGTCGGACTTCCCGAGTTGGAGGAGCTGGGGCGCCTCGAAGGGGGTTGAGGGTGTGGGTCCGCCAGGGGCTAGGGAACTGATGCCGATCCCGCCTTCCGCCCCCTGCACTTGAGATTTGGCTTTGTCCTCAGTCGCTAGGCCTTGAAGCTTCTTCTCCAGTTCGGCAACCTCTTTGTTGAGTTCCGCCACCCGTAGTTGCTCTAATAAAGCCGCCTTTTTGTCCTCCAGTTCTTCCAGCGTGAGTGGTGTCGGCGTCGGCGTATCTCCCGAGTCGGTGCCGCTGGGCTGCAAACCCTCGCAGAACCTGCCGTTCGTCCCGGGTGGGTGAAGAGCAACCGGCTCCCCGCAGCCTGCGCATTTCCTGGAGCGTTTTTTCTTAGGACTCATGATGAGTGTGAGACACTGAACTCGAACGGGGCACACTGAAGTCGGACGGAGGTTACAAAGCTCCGGTCCTGCCCGTGGCTGCGGAGAACTGACCCGGTTAGGGGAGGCTGGTCCCCATGTGTTCCCGGGCGCGTCTAATTAAATGCTTTGGTCTGCGCCCAAACCTGTCCAAAGTTCAAATCATTATTAAATAAAACGCCATAATGTACAACAGACAACATTGTGACGATCAGTGCACAACTGCACAACAACTATATTCATCGTTACATAATGACACTAACGTTATAGCCTCTACCAGGCTTCAGAGGGAGTCCGTACTGTTTGATCAAGGCGTCACCCGACAGGCTTAAACCAAGCGGTACACGACTGTATTCCTTTAGCGGACCAACCCCCTGCCTGACATGTTATGTTATCTGCCTATCTGGCCAACTTTCACTCTTTCCAGCCACCTCTGAAGCCTGGTAGAGTCTAAACGACACCTTAATATGTGTTAAGAATAGTAGAGGCTAGAGAAATTATGAATCAGCAGAGAAGACTGCACGAACCAACGAGGTTAACGCTACTCCCTTGCATCAAGGAGAAAAGCTCCTTTAACGTTAACGTGCAAATGTAAAGGAGGATCAGGAACATCTACATAGCCTTGTCAGCAACATTTGCGGTAAATAGCGAATATCAGTCACCTGTATGTCACTACCGACGTCCACACTACCGAAAGTTACTCGTCGACCGGCTGCAAACACTGAGCCAGAACTGCAATGCAATCAGGTCAGTGAGCTGACCTTTGACCTCTTGGCTAACAAATTCGTTTCTGCTACTGCAAGATCGCCCAGAACCTCGTAAAATCCAGGACAGCGGCCATTATTCAAAAGAAAAAAATACACGTAGAAAGACTACAATTACTACAATTAAGGTTAAGATTAATGTAACAATGAGTACTAGTCGTGGTATTAGATTTGCGCAAATTATTTCAACAGTTGGACTATATGAAGGTCAAGTTGATGTAAAATCGCAATGCATTAGATGGCTCTATAGGGATAGAGATAAAAATATAGAACTAGGAAGGGCGAAAATAGAGTAAATAAGAACGGGCGCGCACGATTTTGAAAAAAAAGTATTGCGGAAGGAGTTGCAAAACATGAGAAGGATGGCAGAAATGTTCACTTCAAGCTAGGAAAAATATCTGTCCCAAAATTTTAATGAAATATCATCCCATCCCCATATGATCCTTCCTTCTATCTTTAGGAACAACACTTTCTATTAGTATGCGTCTATGGCGAAAATTGATGTTGTAAGTTTGTAGACGAACGAGCGGCGTCTAGCGAGTAAAGTAAAAATTGCATTTCAAAAGAAATAGAAAGTCAACATATTTTGACCTTTGGAGCTGTCATTCTGCTTGTCAATCTTCTTTTACACACGTGCTGTCAACCTACTCCGTCCAGACAAACATACATACATACAAACCAACAGACAAACCCGCACCCAAAACAATACTTCCGTACCCGGAAGCAGCAAGCTTGGGGTCTGGTGACCTCAAATCGTGACTTCCCTTTTCGTGCTTCGCATCCAGCAAGATTTCGCCTTCCTTGGTAGACCTTGCACAGTTCTGGTGACTAACAGAGGGGGAAAGTAAACTGTTCTGATTCTATTTGTGCCGCAAACAAAACTGGAGGAAGTCTCTGGATCCCGAGATTATGTGTTTCCGGTAATGTAAGTGCTTTCCTCTTAATTTCGCCTTCCCTGCACAGTTCTGGTGACAAACAGAGGGGGAAAGTTAACTGTTCTGAGGCCGGGGAAAACTTCTGATTCTGTTGTGCCGTAAACAAAGCTGGCCGACGTTTCAGAATCCGGAGACCACGCATTTCCGCAAGTGTAAGTGCTTTGCGTGACATCGTGACACGGTGACCCTGGATGGTTTCGTGGTATAACTAATATTGTGCCGCACAATAATCGTCTTGTTATTATCACGAGCGAAACCTTAATGGGGGCCTGCAAGGGGGGTCCCGACAACGCTCTACGCTGAATATTCGGAAACTTCTCGATTATGCTTTACGATAAATTCCAAGTGGCCACAACGCATTACGTAGAATTAAAACGGCGAATACGCTAGAACGTAAAATTATCAAAGCGGTCCGTCTACGCTCTAGTAGAATTAAAACGGCCGATTACGCTCTACGGAAAAGGGCTTTGTTGATTATGACACCAGCAGTGTTACGATGTTGCGTAATATTCAACTAAGAACCACAGCTTTAAACTGACTACTTTAACTAACTTGCATGTGTGATCTGTAAATAAGTTATCATATTAAAGACAAAGTTAACATCAACATAAAGAATTGGGACTAGTTAAGACGGAAATATTTGACATATTATTGATAATAACCGGTGGTCTCTTATGTGTTTTTCCTGGTAGGTAGAAAGTGCCACTCGCCTGTTTATATATAAAGTGGGTTTGTTAATGGACTTCCCCTTCATACGTCACGTCAACCGTAACACACCTGTGACCTCTGACCTCACGGTGAGAGGAAGACTCTGTCGTCAGTCGTTCAGTGTTGTTTTTAATCGAGTCGGCGGCAGACGAGGTTTAAGGTTGGTACAAATTCTTCTTTAAGATAGTTTTCTATACCTGTAAGACTTGCCCTACATTTATCACCAATGTAAGCTTCTCTGCTTTCTAGTATAATTAGTTTACAGAAGAGATTTTTATCATGTTGGTAGAACATGGGATAATCTAGGAGGCCCCTATACAGGGTCATAGTTTTCTGAGACTGACTGACAGAGAGAGCAAGATATCGGCTGAATACTAGGAGTGAGAAGCAGTACTCCAGTCAGAAGCTCTGAGGAAGGTGTCGAAGAAACGTCGAAACGTAAGCAGGTGGCAGACTTAACAGGATGTGCAAAAGAAAACTCTAATATCCCATAGTTAGTATAGTTTGTAGTTACGCACGCAGAAGGAAGTGGGGAGACTAAATAATGCGGAAGTAAAGGCACGAGGTCACACTGCGCAGAGCGGTCGAGGGTACACAAACAGAAGATATTCACAAGAATACAATTACTCAAGCAACTAGATAGACTTTAAAGACTGAAAGCATCCACTACGTACTTTTCGTCGGTGACTAACGGAATTTGTAGTTGAACAGGTATTTATCCAAGAAGATATATGATACTTACCGTAGTTACAGCTGATAAAGTACAATAGGAACGGGGATGCGTGTATTTAAATAATGAGCTACATTCAGTTCTCGGTGGTAGTTAACGTTAATGACCAGTATGAGAAATAAAACAACAACTTGTTGTTCAACTAGTCCCATTTCGATGGTATTCCTTCCACTGACGTTCACCTCTCCCTCACTCCAATTAAAAAGTAAACCTGATTTCAATCGGACTGGTGAGTAAGACATCCTTTATCAAAAGGTATGTGCAGCCACACGAAGCTATGTTTCAAGTGTTCCCGTGGTTTGATTTCTGATATTTTGGTATATTTGGGCTACGTGGTATATCAGTTGTGATATTTTGGTCTACTGATTTGAAGTCATACGTGTATCCGTAACAAATGTTTGTTTGTCTGGAGTGCTGTTGGTATGAATAAAAACAACAGGAGTTTCGCTGGAAGTTCTTTCGTTCCTCAGTCACGACAAATATATATAAATCATGGCATCAAGCCATAAAACGATCACGATAAAACGTTACCAAGAAAAGAGACAAAATACATGTAGATCCTGTACGGGATAACAGCTACAATGATTGGCCTCGACGTGTTGTTGTTGAAACATTTGTCAGAGAAGAACGTGCCTGGCGGACAGCTAGCAGAACTATAGATAAGTGAATAGAACGTTTGTATCATAAGATATATGGCATGTGGCAAGACTTAGGAATGTTACAAACGATGCTTCAAGACCAGATATTGCCACATTCGCTGCAACATTATCGAGAAGTCAATAAACACCAGAGCCCATTCTTTAACAGTTATCTGTTCAAGCTCGGGACATAAAACGTTGTATCTGGAAAATGAAACTCGCGAATTTCTGCTACTATATCGCGAGATCTAATTGTTTATACTGTCATTTGTGTTATACAATCTATTGATAATCTGACAGAAACGTATGTACAACGTTTGTATGCTTTACGTAGTAAAATACTGCATTACAGTACTTGACAAGGCGTACTTTGCCACAACAGTGACTGATGTAGTTGTCACAAAAGCAAACTTCTGTTGACACAACAAAAGTACAGCGACTTTCTTAAGGTCTCGGCTATGCGTAGAAACAAAGTGTATACAAATGAAGTTACATACAAGCACAGTGTATATGGGTAAATCAACATCAACATATTGAGTTTGACGTATCGTTTGCACTACTAGTTCTAACGAGATCTAAACATTCTTTGATGCATTTGCCTGTTGGTACACGGTAAGGTTTATCTATTCCTATTAAGTTTCTATTGTTTTATTGATTGTCAATGCTTGCAATGCAAATGTTATTCACTATCTTTTGTATGTTCTATCAGTTCAATATGTTTTAACCACCAACTAAGTCAGCAATTCAACACTTTAATGAGCATGCTATGTACCCAGTGACTGCCGTCGAGTCAATCAATCAATAAACTATTTCATATTTCAAATACTATTTCATATAGTTAACAACCTATGATAAAATTGACGTTCGTCTTCTAGGTAAGCAAACGCCAGGCAAGCCCAGCTAGGTTACGACACGTCTGACAAACATGGCGGAGGCGAATCCTGTCCCAGAGGCGAACCCTGAACCAGAAGAAGAGAACTCTGGTCCAGAGGAGAACTCGGAGTCTGAGTACGAGACAATCCCGGAAGTGAAGGAGAGTCACTTCGTCCTCGGCCCGATGAAACTCAGAACAAGTCTAGACAAAGTGAAGGTATGTATGCTATGGCGTTTGTGATCATGCTCATAATCAGGAAATGCTGTATATATGAATGTTTGTATATTATATGTGTGTATGTATGTATGTATGTATGTATGTATGTATGTATGTATCTATGTGTGTATGTATGTATGTATGTATGTATGTATGTATCTATGTGTGTATGTACGTACGTATGTATGTATGTATGTATGTATGTATGAATGTATGTATGTATGTATGTATGGATGGATGGATGGATGGATGAATGGATGAATGTATGTATGTATGGATGGATGGATGTATTGTACGGATGAATAAATGAATGAGTGAATGACCGAATGAGTGGATTAATGAATTAGTGAATGAATTAATGAATGAATTAAAAAAATTGATGGTGTCACTGGCATCTCAAACATTTAAATTGCAAGCGCACGCCGCCTTGTTGTTTTGACTGTCAGTATAGCAGAAATGTTCTGCACAAACGCTGCTATCACGAATCAACAGCACGTAGAAAATTTGCCTTTGTTCCGTCTGTATACTCTGCATGGTCAGGTAAACACTTCTCTCATTGTAAGTGACTGAACCTCCTGCCATTGCAAATATTTGTTCTTGGCTATGAAGTTTGATATTGTCACGGCTAGATTTACAAAAGAGTCTACATACCTTTGTTTCAAAGCTAGCTATTTTAATTCATACCCCACCCCCTCAAATTCGCTGAATTAGAGAGAGTCGGTTATGACTCAAAATAGCTGGCTTGTCAGTAGTAAATTGTCCGTGAAACGTGATTACTTGGTTGCTTTGATTCTACGCAGGAGGTTGTGTACATGTGTCACCCAGAATCAACCGTTTTAAGCTGAAAAGCATTATTGAAAAATTCTTCGTTGAACGCAAGGTTGTGTTGCTCAAAGGTCACAACGGAACGTCTACTTGTGTCGCTATTCGCAGTATTGAGGGACCCAAATCCTGGGTACCATCCTACTTGTATGCCGGGGCTCCCAGTGCCTATAGGAAAGAAAAACCTCGCTTGCCCACGCCAGAACTTTATTTCGCGCCATCTGTATAAAGCAGAAGTTTCTACGAAAACAATTTGAATATTCCCTGTACACAGATATCGCCCAGGGCTACCTATACCTAACTGAAAGGCTACGAAAACTTCCTGTTTCCAGATGTATTGGTTTATCATGTTAACATTGTAATTTGAATAGAATAGAGAACGAATGACACTTTCTTATAGAATGTATATTGTATAGTAAAGAGAGAAATGAACTGTATAGGTTTGTACAAAGCCTGTTTCCCTATTTCATACACTAAAGCACTGTAGAAAAGTTCATATTCCTATTGCAACGAGACAAACCTTCCATCGAAAAACAGATCTGTTCCTTTATCTCCACTATAACTGAAATGCCAGGAGAAGTTGCATTTATGTAATGATAGTTTTATTTTGTTTCTGTTTACTGTATCTACTCATCATGTTTTGTTGTGACCTGTACTTAGGCCAGTGTGACAAAAATGTGCAATAAATGTCGTCATTCATTTATTATGAAGACAAAAGCCACTGGCGATGAACTCGTGTTTATTCTCTGTTCCCACCAGACAACCGTGTTTGTAGTGATGGACCGAGAACTGACAGATGATGACGAGACCGGTAGAGGTGAGCACGTTATGCCAAACTTCTCATGTCGCGTAGAAATGATCATGTCATGGGCAAAATATGTACTATCTTAACGTGTTTTCAGAGTGAGAGAGATAGAAGAAGCTATAAAGAAAATAGATTTACACTAGAAGGCCGACATTTGCTCTGGACCAAATGCAGCAAATGGCTTAAACACATCCCCCGTTCCAAAAATGGACCTGTCCCCTCCCCGCACGAATGGATTGTTCCTAAATCACCCCTGTCCAAAATGTGAATTGTTCCAGCAGTCTATACCCACACGCAGCAATGGAATCTTCCAACGTCTTTTGCTGTTGGAACATGTAGATTGACAGGATCCACGTCACCCTGTATCTGCTTGGAGATTGCAAATGTCATCAGGTCATTTGGCTCCAAACGTTGAATCCGCGATAAGGTATCATAATTCTTCACTATTTCAGTGCAAGTTGGAGAGGACTGCTCCGTGCGCGTGTACGTGTATCCAAAGTCAAGTACGTCCCTGCCCAGACGGTCTTACCGTGTGAAGGATGAGTACATCAGCCAGGAGAACCTGCTGTATGACATGGCGCTCACACCCAGGGCGGTGCTGGGTCTGGAGAGCTATGCCTCCAAAAACAAGTGAGCGGGACGTACCCTGTCTGTAGTTACAGCCACACATAAGGATCGTTCTCACCTTGAGCTTTCGACCAGTCACTCTAATCTTCTTCAATACTTTATTTTACTTGAATCTTTTTAGGCATCCATGGCCTACATAGAATAAAACATACCTATAGAAATACACTTAACAGTAGCAATTAAAATACACACTAAGAGTACAGGCGGACCCAGACATTGTGGAAGAATTTGTTGCGGACGTTTAAATTGGAGTTGAGAACAGATTGGATGATGTTGTTTGAGGCTTTGTACAGACGAAATATGAAAAACTAGTATTGTTTGCGCCATGTAGCGTCAAAGGTGCCAGACTGCCAGTCCTATTATAAAGAAACATTTCACTAGCACTGCGAAAACTGGGTAAAGACAACAGACTGTCTAGACTCTAGAGATGTATGTGCTTGGAGATTGATTTGATACCAAAATTTCTTGTAGGAGGCCGAAGCTGGCGCTGGCCCTTCCCTCAGACAACCAGACCGTGAGACAAGAAGACTACATCTTCAAGGCGTTCAGCAGGTCCAAGGCGGCGGCCGTCACGGTGATGGAGGTCGTCCTACGGGAGGGTGCGTTACCATGGTTACTTAGCATTACTGTTGTCACGACTTTCCATTCGGTTTTCATTCACGAATTTTCCATTCAGTCAGCATAAACTTATCATGTGCATGTACATTGACTTCCAAAGTTGCCCCAAAATACTAATCTCCAAGCACCTTTCGGTGGCAAAGCCGTTACCAACCGGCAAGACAGTATCCATTCGGCCAATGAACGAATACTGTCTGGCCAGTTTGATAGTACCTTGCCGATTCGACTTTGCCATCGAAAGATCTGTTTAGAGATTTCAAGAAAGACCACTCAGGGTACTGACAAAGTCTGGTCTAAAAATGGCCAGGTGATCCTTATGTAGAGATCACTTGGTGTGTTATGCCAAGGGGCGGTTATACCGGCTATACAGATACATATACAGACGTTTGTGCAGGGTTGACCGTGCCTACATTCTGCAATATGATTGTCTTTTTTCTCGTCATGATCAGGTCCGTTCAGATACATGAAGCAGGTGGACGTGTTCATCTCGCCCGACCAGGAAATCCCGTCAGGCCTTGCGCTGATCAACGTGTTCTCTACGCACGTCTGTCTGGTCAACCGGCACAACAGAAAGAAACCTGAAACCAGGTACCCCAGGTATGTTTACTTTCTTGTTTGTTTGTTTGTTTGTTTGTTTTCGCATAAACGGTAAACAGTAGGTACAGGTAGGTACAGTGCATACAGAAGGTACAGGGTTCGTAATACCGGGCTGCGAGGTTTAATCCACTAATATCAGGAAGGACCTCTACTACTAGTATTTGATATTAAAGTGTGGAGGAATATTTTAACGTGCTCGAGGTTTGGTTCCCCTCAAAAGGGGACCTAATCTTTAAGTCCCATCGGAGAGGACGTCCCTAACCGAAGCTAGGTACTCATTTTCACTGGAAATATGTGTAAAGTAACTTTCCCAATGGCACAATACTGGGGCCTGCCAGGGATTCGAACCCAAAACCTTCAGATTCTAATTATTCACAACCCTAACCACAAGACCCCACTCTTGCCTCCAGGTTCTACAAGACAAGGAAGAGGAAAAGCACCATCCCCTGTGCGTACATCCCAACCAGACCTCTGCCACTCGTGGTCACGTTTGAGGAGGTCACCCACTTCGACCCGCTGGAAGCCGGTCTCAGGTTTGTTTTTAATTCAGAGAGATATCTGATTCAATTAATACAAATAAAAGGACAAAGACAATGTGACGATGACATAATGACAGTTGAACGCAACTTATGTTTTCGCCGCACATAAGGCCATGTTGATTTGATTATATGGATGACATCCTCCGGGAGCCCAAAAACTGATGCGCGCGTGCAAATAAAAAAAAAGTTTTGCAAAAAAAAAAAGTTGTTTTCATTATGAAATCTACGTGGTCATGAGGGTTGAACAAATGGGACAGAATATGGTTTGGCGAATAATCTAATCTTCAAGTTCATTTCCTTACAATTTCGTCTTTTTTCGTTTGATTTTGGCATTCTACGACATTGGTATAGTTTTTACTTATTTTTTTTGTAACTTTAAGTTAACGTAATACGGTATATTTTTGCTCATTTTGCAACTGTTTTGTACGATTTACAGTATGGTTGAAAACTTTTTTTTTTTGGAAACGGCCGAAAATTCATGCGCGCGCGGATGTCATCCATATAATCAAATCAACATCGCCTAATGAAAAAACACGAGTATTGGACAAGACACTCAAACTTATGAGTAATGAATTAATTCATAACAAAATATCTAGTTTGAAAATGAGTACAAACTCCCATCTCGGCAGATAACTACCTTAATATGTTGAAAATCGGAAGTAAATTACAATTACACGAATATTTTTTTCCAAAAAATATTTCAATTTTTGGATGCAGAAATGTTACATAATAAGCCTTTAAAACGCTGGTAAGTATATGTAGGACAGTACAATAGATAATGCTGAGGTCACAATTCCAAATAAACCGGGGCCCGGGTTAAGAAATTAATAATGGGAACTATTTGCGTATAATATTGATATAAATTGTTGATTATTAATCGAAACAGCCCGGCCGGTTGGGAAATATGACCTGAGCTTAATGGGTAATCGTTTCGCATGGCCTCAGGTTCGAGGTGGCGAAGAAGATGCACTTCCTCCGCTGCGACCACGAGAGCGCCCTGGAGGTGATCCAGCACTTCGAGCTGCACAAGTACGGGGAGAACTGGCCGCCGCTCTACATCGCCGGGGACGGTCAGCAGTGGGACGACCAGTCACTACCGCCCACAGATTCAGAGGTCTCGTCTTTTTTTCAGTGCAAAGTGAACCTGATCTTAACATCGTATATTGATGATTTTCGGTTCAATAACATGTCACCTCAATTCCCCTCGCTTAAGTACACAGCGCATTCCATCCCTTTACGATGTTTACCTTCGCAGAAGAAAAAAATATATTGTTCTCGCTCAGTTTCTTCTTCTTCCTCTTCTTATCTAAACAAATAGCTTCAAAGACTGCACTGTTTTTGCTCAGTTTCTTCTTCTTCTCTAAACATATAAGGACAATGACCTGGATCAGACGTCTGTTATCATGGTAACTTGTGCTTTTGGCAAATGTTACCTGTCTAGTTGTCTTTATTTCGACTCCCTTAGCCTGATGGCTAGTCTTACAGGGCTCACACAAAGTAAGAGCATATAACCGAATTCATGAGCCGAAGACTTGGGTGTAAATGTGTTTGTAAATGTGTCCTTGCGTGTTTCAAAAAGAGAGAAGAGTTCTTGTAGATATACTAATGTAGTACCTCTTCCTCCTACCCTTATACCTAAGTTATCTAACTTAGTGCATTTGGCCCATTTAGGGCGTGAATATGCAATATAGAACGTTCATCGTCATTGTCGTTAAAGGAAAGTGAGGAGACCGGGTCCGGGGACATCCCGATCTTCCTGCCGTGTCAGTCTGACGTCACCAGGATAGACCCCCGCGCCGAGCAGGAGGCGCACATCTACCAGAACGAGTTCATCACCAGGAGGTGCGAGACAGACCCAAAAGAGGTTGGTACATCAAGCCCCTCTCAAACATCAGAGCATTTCTCCAACCATCAACCAGGTTCGGTAGCAGTCTGACCAGATCTAGACCTAGACAACGCTAGTGCGTTCTGCGGCAGATTCGTGGGGCGGTCAGCGGTTACAGGCGGCCAATGTAGTCTTCCCTTGCCCCACAGAATCTGCTTGGCGATCAACATTTCTAATAAAATTTGAGTTAAACAATAGCCTAGTGCCGAGATATAAACACATACATTATCATACAACGCGCGTTTTGATATAGTTTGGAACACTCATAGTTCACATCCCTCTACCCGGTCTTTGTTTGTAAGAACAAGAAGGTGTACAAACTCCCATTAAAGTGATTCGTTCTTCATCTATGAAATTTGTTGAGCGATCTTTCAGGCTAATCCATTTGGCTTTTGCCGTGTTAAACTCTTCCAGACGTCCCAATTACTCCCCCCTTTCCTAGCTTCAGTAGCTATAGGTCGTGCCATCCTATATCTTAATCTCTGTGTCAACAGGGATTCATGGCAAACATCGGAGTCTTCGCCGGGAGACCGACTGTCGGGGGAGACTGGCTCCTCCACGTCTTCATCTGCCCGCTGAGGAAGTCTCAGGAAGAAATCGTGAGTTTTTTTTTTATCAGTGGATTCAAACAGCAAGAAGGAAAATATTGTTTTTGCTCAGTTTCTTCTTCTCCATAAGGTAAATGCTGAGGAAGTTCCAGGACGAAATCGTAAATTTCGTATTAATGGATTGAAATAGCAAGAAGGAAAGCACTGCTTTTGCTCATTTTCTTCTTCTTCAAAAAACAAGGTCAATGATCTGGACCAGACGTCTGTCACCATGGCAACTGGTAATATAGCAGACACACTGTGGTGTTGGGTTACATTATGTAGCAAAGAGTTGGAAGGGGCTGGTCACCAAATATGTGAATGTATTTTTGAGTAAGACCATGTGAGGGTAAACATTATGAATTTGCTTTGCAAAATTTACCTTTCTAGTTGTTGTTTTTGTATCACGTAATAATGTTGTAGCACGTAATGTCTAACTTTGGTCTGCTGAACCTCAGATGAAGGACTTCGCGGAGAAGCAGCGGGAGGTGGTGTGCACGCTGCGGGCCTTCCAAGTCGTGCGGGACCTGTCCGTGTCTATAGACCTGAGGGAGGGATGGAACCATGTAGGCGACAAGATGATGGTACAGTATATCAATCAATCAATCTATTTATTTATTAAGACTTACTACATTTGTGGAAGGATTGACATAACGTAACAGGTGACTATCACCTTGTCAAGATGTCACCCCTGAGACCGGACGGTTTGAACCACTTACACCGGGAAGTACCCCTGCTATTTTTGGATAAGTGTGGTGCTCGAAATGTGGTTGTCCTCAAAGATGGGACCTACATCCTATCCGAGAGGACGTCCCTAACCGAAGCTAGGCACTCATTTCCACCTGAGTCATGTGAGAAAATATGATAATAAGCGTTATTACAAAATGTACCAAAGGCACAAAATTGCAGCCTGCCAGTGCCATGGATATTTAGCAGAAGTTGTTTTGACAATGTAACATCTTGTTGTCTATGCCCACGATTCTCTCCAGGAGGTGTCTAAGGAAGAGCTCCGCGGCGCGCTGGACGGCTCCTCGCGGTTCATGCACGACATCTGCCTGCAGCACGACGACACGTCACAGACACGGTTCCGCGGATCCATCGTCATCCGCCAGGGCATGGAGAAAACTCTTACCCTCAGGATCCTCACAGACTACGTAAGTGGTCAGTCAGTAGTGACAGATAGTATGCGCTATTGGCACCAGTAACCATCGAGCATATATAGGAGCTTACTACCTCCGTACTTTGCTTGCTTGTTCGTACAGTTGAGTGACAGCACGTGGGTGTGGGAATTACTTACCACAGATCACAGAAGGCCAGACAAAGGAAATTAGGTCCCAGTGCCTGTAGGAAGTTGGTCTGGAGTTTGTTGGCCGGAGGCCAGCTAGAAAATGCATAGACGTAAAAAGAGAAAGCCATAATAATTAGTAAAACAAGAATTTCACAAAAAAATCTATTTAACGGAGGTATGAAAACTCCGCTCTTGTTTTAATTCGTTCAGTGGCTGGAAGTGTTTCATTATAAATGTCTCTCACACACGTACACAGGAGCAGAGCCCGGAAAGTTTCCTCCAAGACGGTAGAGCCCAGGAGTCGGCCTGCGGCGGCGCTCCTGCCGAGCAGACGCCAGGCGAGGGCTGGCCGCTGGCGTACTCCCAGACCAGGCGCATGTGCGAGCTGCTGGACGTGGAATGCATCTACGGGAACGACTGGAGACTCTTCGCGGAGAAGATAGGGCTGGACTGTCAGGTGGTTTTCAGGATTCTTAATACTTTTTCTAAGCCAAAGGCCAGACTACCCATCAGTATTTCGGGTTGCCGTCAACACCGGTTGTTTATTTTAGAATGCCAGGCCACCTGTAAAGTATCACTGAAGTGTGTTTCAGAAGCCGTAAGCTGACCGCTGTAAACTTTAGAGATCGGAGGTCGCTTTGTATGCAAAAAATTGCGTGCAGGGCAACCTAGCTGGTTCTAGTAGTCGCCGTTGCCCGTACCATAACCTGCAAATAGCTCGTATGGGTGGATTCCAGGCTACACCTAGGCCCTACGACCTGATAAAGACTGGTGCTATTGGACTACATTTATTATATTTCAGTCCATACCATGGTATGGATGAAATATATTGTGTTCCCTCATGTTTCTCCTCCTTCTCCTTCTCCTTCTCCTGCCAAACAGTCAAAGGGATTCAACTCAGCCATCATTCAGCCAAATGACCTGAAATTTGGCATGGAGGTAGAGTGGGCAAATACCCCCAGACGTTTTTTTCATTTTTTTGAAACATGCCTTTGAAAACTTTTTATGAAGGTTTTTTGGGGCATTTTTCGACAAAAAATGCATTTTTGGATCCTGAGCCCTGGTATTACAACCAAATGATATGACATTCGGTACAAGGCATGCCCGTAGCCAGGGGGGGGGGGGGGTTCGGGGGGTTCGGAAGAACCCCCCCACAAGGCTCAAAGGTCCACTTTTTGGTCCACTTTTTATGTAAAGGTCCACTTTTTGGTCCACATTTTATGTAAAGGTCCACTTTTTGGTCCACATTTTATGTAGAAAAACTGCTCCCTTTGTCATTGAATAAAAATTTATCTCTGTTTTTTTCTTGGAAATCCTCTTGAAAATGCACGAAATGCCATTTTAGAAGGTTCATTTTTCAAAATTTTCCGGGGGAGCATGCCCACGGACCCCCCTAGGAACCTCGCGCCTTCGGCGCTCGCCTCGCGCCTACGGCGCTCGAGGTCATGTATTTGGCATACACCACTTCCAAATGACTCATTTGGGGGACTTTAATGGCTATTTTCAGCAAAAAAAAGGGCCAAAAGTGCTGTACCTGTTCCATGTTCTATCTAAAGAATGGCCGGTTCCATCCATGGAACACGTGTTCCATTGCGGGTTACCTGAGGTCACATTGCACCTAAGTGGTGCGTAATGACCCACAAACTCAATTTTATGTGCCTAAGACCTCCAAAATGTATCAAATCTCATCATTGTTAGTTTTTGCATATCTGTAATAAGATTAGTAAAGCTTTCAAGATTCAAAGTACTTGTTGTTGCATCTTTGTTCTCATATAGCTACTATTTAATTCATTTATTTGAGAACCTTTGCCAGTTTTGCACTGGGGTAAGTTTGGAATAGTCCACTTTTGCGTGGGAGGGAGATGGACTGAAATATGCTGTATTTGCTCCCAAGCAAATGTCGGCCTTTCTAGTTTTTTTTCTACCTTTGACACTCCATCCCGCTTAGTCGCAAACCCAGCGTCTGTGGTAGGAACTCGTAAAAGGACTTACACCTCATACGTAACTGTATGCTGTGTCAGAAATGTACAACATTGCCTTATTTATGCTACTTTGTCGCAGACGCTGCCTGTGATCGCCTGCCGAGAGGGCTCCCCCACAGATAACGTGCTGAGCCTGTGGAAGCAGGGCCACACCGACCGGCCGTACGACAAGCGCACACTGGTGGAGATCCTGCAGAACATGGGCAGACCGGACGTCATACAGGACTTGCACCTCATAGGTAAGGACTAATACAGGACATACAGCTCGTAGGTAAGGACGTATACAGGACTTACACCTCATAGGAAGGACTCGTACAGGACTTACGGCTCATAGGTAAGGACTCGTAGCCTCTACCAGGCTTCGGGAGGCAGCTGGAAAGAGTAGGAATTGGCCAAATAAAGAGATAACTCTTTTGTTTTATCTCTCCCGTCCTCTCCTTAGCCCCTACCCTCAAGACCTTCATGCCGTTAACTATCACGGACGACTCCATCCAGGTGGGTTGGGAGCCCGGCAGCCCCGACCTGACGCACTGCAACCTGTACATCAACCGCTCGGCCAGGATGGACGTCTTCCTCCGCAAGAAGTACACCGTGAAGATCGAGGAGAAGTCCTTCACGTTCCGGGACCTGCAGCCCGGGACGCAGTACACCATCTGTGTCGAACCACTGGTGCAGCTGGTGCGGGGGGAGCGCAGCTCGATCGCCCAGAGGACTCGGCAGAAAGAGCCAGTGCAAGTGGCCGTTCCCACCGAGAATTAAGCACCCTCTTCTGCCTACTGGTTGTAACTAGCCGGAGCCCAGCCTTGTTGGCTTTGGTCCGCTCCCCAAGATCTGGCGATTGCGAGGTAGCGGATCTTGGGGAGCGGACCAAAGCTAACAAGGCTGGGCTCCAGGCTAGATTGTAGCCTGGTACCCAAACCTGTTTAAGCTGTCGAGTCTTTTTTGCGGAGAGGACGAAAGAGACTCGGCAGCATGAAGCTGAAATAGGTTTCGTAACCAGCCTACAATGATTGAGGATACACCAAATCGAACGCTTTACCAAAATATGCTTCCGAGATCATCTGTAGAGAACAAAGATATCAACATCTATATGTACACTGCTACTTGTGCTAGGCGTTAGGACATACTCTTATATATATCTACGCCATGTAAATAGACAGGCGAGGAAAATTAAGTGCAGTACTTTACTCACGGTTTTGCTATCATATGCATAGCCCTCTTAATACGTGCGTTGAACATACTTACTATTACAACTTATCTTTACTATTTAACTTACATGTACAGACGTCAGGATGAGACTTCAACTGGGTTACCCGTATATGAGTGTTCTTACCTGTACAGTATATAGAAATATACAATAACGGCCTTCATCGTTGTTATAAATGATGACATTATCCAGTTTATACGTACGGTACGGTACCCTTTTCTGGTAATAACCATGTTTTATGTTTTAAAGGCAGTTAAACCATGTTACGAGGAGTGTAACAAATAATTGTTTCAATGTGATCTGTGCTTGTAAATCCTATGTAATAAGGACGAAATTCGTGTGTGTGTGCCCTCGAGATCCTTACTGAATAAATTTGATTTGAAAATAATATCAGCATTGATGTTGCCATTATTTTCAACACACATGCGAGTAACCACACCAAGCCAAGTCCTTGCATCAGCAAGTTTATGTACAAGAATATCTCATATTTTTACAGCAGACTTGACCAGGAGGTCAAGAGCAACCAGACACATGACCCTCGACCTCTTGACCTTACACAGCAAGGGGCGCCTGCTTGCACAAATAATAACACTGCATTTCAGATGGCACTGTGCCACACCGCCGCATGTTTACATAGGCACGACTTTAGAACACTGCTTACTTCACTCTACTTCGCTTGAAACATTGAAGTTTTATAGATATAAATCGATGCCAAAAAGTCCGGATGAAAGGGGTAACATTATGCACAATGGACAAGTTGACGATATTCTATCCAGCTTGTCCATATCAAATCAGACCCAAGAATAATTTCCCCCTAAACAAATTCTGTACAGAACTTGGATCACATATTTCCCTTCTTTTTTTTCCCTTGAACAAAGTCAAATCCACCATCTCTTCTTGAAATGAACTTAACCTTCAAATTGTGTTATGATGGCTCTAAGGATGACGATAAGATATTCTCACAGTACACTCGAAAACACACCATTTGCTCGCACAAGGCTTAAATCTAAATGTAGAATACACTGATGGTTGTACACAGGTCACAGGTACATGTAAGTACATCCACACACTGGGCAGCCTTGCCAGGCTTAATACTGTAAGTTTTCATTTCATTGAAAATATGTCAATCATAGGGTTGGTCACTATATAAAATGTGCCTATATTTATAGTAGAACCTTTTCCTAGATTCTTTTACAATGTTCGAGAAAGGACATGAGACAAATTTCTATCCATAGTTCCATACTCCATATATAGGTGTTGCAAATGATAACAAATAACACGGGACACCTCCAATATACATGTACATGTACCTCTGGAACCCAAAGTATCACGAAACATGCCAGTTCCAGTGGATTCTAGACCAAATAGATTTATTATCATTCCCACTACATAGTTGTTGCTCCAAACAGAGACCCAAAATCTTTAAAACAGTCCATCCTTTAATAAGTCTTTGGTATTTGTACATGCACAAGTGGCAGAAAGAACAATTCATTTTTTTTTCCTTCAACAACTGATTGAATAGCAAAGTTCTTTCTTCCCAACCACGTGTTAGCCGTCTTGTGAAACAAATGGTTGTGGATACAGAACTTTGCTATGGTATTCAATCATTCACCGACCCAATAAAATAATTCAGTGTCAAGAACTGGGAGGACTTCTGTGGGAGCTCTCCCTATTGACTGACACTTTACCACTTTACTGATCTCAATTTGGAGGGTGAAGTACCCCACAATATGTCCACGGGGAAGTTATAATTCATCAGTTTATCTTTGAATGTGAAAATGGCTTTTTTTAGGTAAAAGTTATACCGGTAGTAACATCCAGTTTTAGTAACATTTCCCAGAAACTAGTCTCACACAGATAGTACATTGTACATTTCACACAAGAGTAGAAAAAAAACACCATGAACATTCAGAAAATACTGCAAGAAACCCTTGAAAATAAATTACTATATACAGTAACAGCATGATGCATTACAGGCAGCTGCAATACACTCCCACAGAAACAACAGGTTATACTGAATCCTTGGCCATAACATGCCTATCATATTATATACTTCAGGGCCATTTACTTCAGGGATGGACCTTTGAAAGTTCCCCTTTTGGCAACAAGAGTCAACAATACAAGGGAATAAACTTGACAATAGGATGACTCTAGAAAAAATTTGTTTTGGAAAAATTCACAATTATATCAATATATATATATACCGGTATAAAAGTATGTGCATGACACTCATCATAGTTCTTTAACGTAAGAAAAAAAGCACATCAGGACCCTGTCATCTTAGGAAATGCCTGCACACCCACAAAAGTGACTTGTTTTGCAGCTAGAGCCTGCTGTTGGCATATACAAAACAAATCATGTACAGTCAAACTTGTGCAAGTGACCACCTATACATGAGGACCACCTGGCCAATGGTGGTCCCTTCGATAATTTTTTCTATTGACTCAAACATAAAGAATCCTGTCTACAGTGACCACCTGTCCACATGGACCAGATTTTATAGGTCCCCTGAGTGGTCTTATTGGGCAGCTTTGACTAATAATCTTTTTAAACAAAATTCAGCTGTATACTATCTGTTATGTGTTCCTTCCTTATTCTTGGTTGGACCGTCAGTCAGCATTGCTTCTAATCATTGTTTTACCATTTTGCTCTCTTAGTTGAATTCATAGCTTTAGAACCTTAAAAACCTGTGTGAAAAAATGTTGCAGCATTTTTGTACATCTTCCTAAAACCAGGTCCTTTTTGCAACATTTCATCCCAATGGCATGATGTGAGCATCAACACTGTGTCAGATGTATTGTAGGTACAAGGTACACATTTCTCTAGAAAATCTGCAGACATGTAAAATAACGCTTGCAGCCTTTGTCCTTGCCAAATCAAGTGCTTGTTGTAAACATTTACAATTTTTAGTGAATCGCTGCCTCTACACAATCATCCTATTTTCCATCCATATTTTGATATTTTCAACAAGCTTTACCTTTAACATACATGTACAATAATGCAATGAAAATATCATCGCTTTTTGTATACCTCTAGCCTCCCTTACAACAGAATGGTACTATATACAGGCTGACTACACGTAGTCCATACTTGCAATGACAGAGCACGTCCGCAGAACGAACTGAGCCTGCGCAAAACCCAGATTTTTCACATTTTTGTTGGATATTTGGTCGACATTGCATCTGAATTTTGCCCATTGCAGATGATATCAGATTCTGTTCCGACACAGCATTTGAAAACTGCAGACGGGATGTCATCCTTTAATACATAAATACAAACTTAAACAAGACATTCTGCCAAAGCGCTAAGCACAATACATTGTGGGTTTTGCCAAGCGCAGTATGTTCTGCCGACGTGCTCTGTAACAGGGGGGACAACAATACTTAAATCTGAGCAGCACAAGTTCGAGGTTACTTAATGAGACAAGTAACGCACAGCCTAGACGGCCCTATACAGTCATCGTGGCAGAACGCGCCGCAGCTCTTACACATGACCATGGCCTTCAACCTACAGGAACACTTGCTCCCGGCGTTCGTAGTCGCGGCACCGTGGCCACCACTGTTGTTGGAATTTGGTCCAACGCAGTTTGCGGCGACGGTTCCGCCTGCTGCGTTCTGTACGGCAGCGACGTTGTTGGCGTTCTGTACACAGTTTGCAGCAATGTTGTTGCTAGCGTTGTTCAGGTGTTGTTGTTGTTGGTGTTGTTGCAGGCTGACCTGGTTGACGGTGATGGGGATGGCGGTGCCGCCGTTCGACGACATTGACACCAGCACCTGCTGCGGGTGGTGGTGCAGCTGCGGCGGCTGCTGCGGGGAGACGTTCACGATCTGCTGCATCACGCCGCCGCCCACGTGCACCTGGTTCGACTGGATCGACTGGATCATGCCCTGTGGGACCTGGATGTGCTGCGGGAGCGCCGCGCCCTGCGGCAGCCGAACCACGTTCGGGAACCCGACGAAGCTAACCGGGACACCGACGTGCTGGGTGTTCACGAAGCCGGGCGGCGCAGTGACACCGCTACTGTCCGCCGTTGCAGCTACTTGCACTGGAGTCAACATTCCGGCACTGTTGGACACAGGTCTGTTGACATGGGTTAGACTCGTGTCAGCTGAAAGGTTGCTTCCTTGCATGGCACACGAGGCCTGGCCGTTTTCGTAAACGCCGGCTATGACGGGTACGCTTGCGACGCTGGCTGCGCGGACATTTTCTACCTCGTTCTCGCAGAATTTGCCGGTCACAGGAGGCGCGCTGGATGCCCGCTCAGGCTCGTCCTGATTCCGCTGCCTCGCGGCAACGCTTCTGGCCTTTCCAGCGATGTCCCTCAGCTGGTGTTTCAAGGCTTGCGTGGAGGAAGACAGGAGGTAGTGGGAGGAAACCTTCGACGCTCTGAGCGTCCGGGAACCCCCGTGCGGGGGTAACGAATGCACGCTGGCCGCACTCCTCTCGCTGCTCACACTACCACTGCTCGAGATCGAGTCTGCCGGCGAACTCGCTTCCAGGAGTTTTGCCGGAAACTGGCTCGACTTCACATTGAACGCCTCTGAAGTCTGTGGTACCACCTCCAGTGTACTAGGTCTCCGTGAAGAAGTGTCTGTTGTGGTACTTATACCTGTCGGTTTATCTGAAGGCGGTTTGCCGGTTATCAGTTCAACCAACGTAATGTTCTTCATGTGTGATCTGTCGACAAGTGGCTGCGACAGGCTTTCCTCTGCCACCTTCTGTGGGGCCTGTGGAACCGAGAGCCTCGAATCTGCTGAGCCCGAATGTGCTGCTGCCTCTGTCTGGCTTGTAAGGTGCCCTGGTGTGCCTGCCACCTGGAAAGCATAACCTGATGTTACATGTCAATCTCTCACGCCTGATTAGTCACAGCTTGGTCACATAACAAGGTTATGTCTCAATCTGTCATCCGATTTGTTACAGCAAGGTCAAATGACAAGGTGTAATTTTTATGTCATCTGTACAACTTTACTACATGAGTTTGCAACATTCTGACCTTGTTACTACAGCATATTGTTTTAGATTCTAAACTTACTGTTGTTTTATTTTGTCCCAAATTTATCTTATAAAAGTGTCACTAATTCTACAATTTTCACAATCCTATAGAGCCAAGAACAAATTAATGCACCTAAATCATAATTACACAACGCATTTAAGGGTGTTCTTTGTTCCCTACGTTAGAATACACATAGTTTCAATCTTGTTCATTGAGAACTACGTTTGAAACGTTTTGCTGCTCAAGGAAAGTAGTCGGAAGACTTGATAATAACAATGTAGTTGGATACAGAAAAGGTTGCACTGAAGAGTCATCAATAGCAATAGTTTCAGTTTCAAATGTTTTGGATAGACAGTCCTAGACAAAAAAAGTAGGTCTAATTATCTGCACAGATAGCCTTCATCTGATTCTGAAACAAAAATAATCACACCAAAGAATGAAGACCAAGTTCCAACAACAATCCTACACAACTTCTTGTTCATCTCTTTACTTTCCTCACCTACAAATTACTACACAAAGACAGATGTTTTTTCAAAATAGGCTTTAATCTACACTTAGAGGACCTTTCACAAGGTGTGAACAGAACAGAGTGATTTTGTAACAGTTGTAACTTTCTTCTGTGCAAATAAACAGCAGATACAGAGAGGACATTTCAGAGATTTCAACGAGGCCTTGCCTATACTTAGTTCAATCCATTGTTGGTACAAGTGCTGCATATCTATATTCAATGGCTTTTTTTGCTTACTCCCCTATGCTCTAGCCCTACTTTCATCTCAAAACTGTTCACTGTTACAGTAACCAACAGCAATGTTCTCTATTCACAACCACAAGAGCCATGTTTTGACAACCAGTTATAATTGCATGCACTGATGAAGATGACAGAGGGTCATCTAAACATGGTTGTGAGTAAAGAATATTGCTTTTGAATCATTCACCAGCTGGATGAAATTAATCACAGATAGCACAGTACCCTTTTGGTAAGTTGTGATATTATAGGATTTGAGTAACCTGAAGCCACAGCTTCAACTTACGACAGTTTGACTCCTTTCAAATCGATATAAATAAGGTGCTTGGCAGTTAGGAAAAACTTTCCGTACTTTTTTGGACTTAGTCTTATGGCGTAGTTGAACCTATTCAAAGATGGTCACAACCCACATATTTCAAACACTTTGATCAGCTGCCATGCACCTTTCGAACTACTGAAAATGCCACTACCGGTAGTTTCTGTCACTATTCGTGACCTACATGATTACAATTCATGGACAATAGGGCAAAAACATACATAGCAAATTTGTATTTCATCAAAAGTGCAAAAAATTATCATATTTCATCCTAAAACTGTATGGTGGGATTGCCCTTTGACATTACTGCTACAGGAATTAAAATCTGCTGTTCATTTGCGAGGGCCTGAGTTAAAGTAGTGAACAGTACTGAAATAAAGTTGCAACATCTTGTGAGAGGTGGAAAACTATGCACTAAACAGGTTGGAGACTTTTGAAGACATTCTTGGGGAAGGATATATTGCTTCCAGTGACTACCCTGTTAGTTGAAGGAACTTGGTACTCCAAATGAGCAATGCAGTCAAATAACTCCATGCATGCGTTCACACTGAGCTTGTATTTTAGTCAAGTCACCAGATAACAAGTTCATAAAATCTCAGCATTCATTTTTTTCAAACTTGATTGAAACGTCCACGACCACAAGTGAGAGAAAAAGTATGATGATAATAATAAGAAGAACGTACAAAAATATACAGAGAGAAAAGCGCTATTGTAATAGTTTGGTATTTATACATGCAAGACAGGCACAATGATGACAACCTGATGCGTGAGCTGCACGGACGACCCGGGTGCAGAGAAGGGTACCGTAGTCTTTGGTTCCGTAACCGTGGCAACAGTGTGACCTGCCGCCGCCGCAGACGTGGACAGTTGCTGGGGCGTGGCCACCCTGGGTTGCCCGGGTGATGACGACATCAGCCCTGTCCGGTTTGGAGAGGTGGGAGACACGTGTAGAGCTGCTCCAACCTGTGGGCACACGGGAAACCATTGTTAGGGGTTTACGGTAGCCTCTACCAGGCTTCAGATGTGGCTGGAAAAAGTAGAAATTGGCCAAATACATGTAGAGAGATACTAGCAGTAACATGCCAGAGGAGTTGGTCTGCTAGAGGAATGGCAAACTGTACTCTTTCAGCGGACCAACTCCCCTGGCATGTTATCTGCCTATTTGGCCAATTTCTACTCTGTCCAGCTGCTTCTGAAGCCTGGTAGAGGCTAGAGTTATGTGTCCTTTAACCTCTATGTCACGTGACTTTCCTTTTGCTAGCCTATTAAACATGGTTGATGCAATCTGAAAGCTACTCCAGCTGAACTATTTTATAATGCGTAAGAGCTTAATCCTTGTACTACAATACAATACAAGTGCAAACATGACAAGACTGATCCTTACCGGAGCCTGCAGCTTGCCCTGCATCTGTGTGTGGGTCCTGGCCTGCAGCTTGGCCTTGGTCTGGGCCTTTATCTCAGCCAGGGTCCTGGTACGGCCTTGTTGATTCGCTGCTCTCAAGGCCTGGAAGGGGAGGCATTATTATGTACCTTTGTCATTTCTTCTTATTATTATTATTACTTTGTTTTATTGTTTCATTTTATGTGTAAAGAAAGGGCTGATAAGTTTCATAACTTTTTTGCCCAATCCTCGAAAAATAAATGTGAACTAGAAAGGCCAATATTTGCTTTGGAGCAAATACAGCGATGGGTTCACCACATTTTACGACATGGCAGGGAAAGAATGAGAAACACAAGGGAAAACAATGATTTACATTGATATAACTATAATATGAAGTAAAATACAACTAAAACAACAGTTAGATAGCTATTCCCTACTTTATTGGTTTGGATTTTTAATTGCATAATGCAAACTGTTGATTTTCAAAATAAAAAAAAAGTACCATGCCCCGCATTCCAATGCTGGAGCAGGAAAGCTTGAAATCCCTACCAAAACACTTGAATACAAACATACTGTCAGTATGGAAATGCTCTGTGCAGGTGTTAATCAAGTTAAATCCCAACAGCCAATCAGCAAGAAATGCTCTGTGCAGGTGGAAATGCTCTGTGCAGTCTGTTAATCAAGTTAAATCCCAACAGCCAATCAGCAAGAAGAATAGAGGAAAGCTGCATGCCTATTGGTTGATGCCCTGCATTCCATTGTGATGACTCATGCCCAAACGTGGTAAACAAGGCACACTAACACAGTAATACATTTGCTATAACACAGCCAAAAAACTCAAATAAAACCATTCTAAAAGCCTGTATCACAATAATTTAAAAAACGCCTAGGGGTATTTGCCCACTGTACCTCCATACCAAATTTCAGGACCTCGGGCCCTAAAATGAAGAAGCTGAATCCATTTAAAAAATGGCAGGAGAAGAAGGAGAAGGAGGAGAAGAAACATCAGAAAAAGCAATATGGGTGTGGTGTGGTGAACCCATAATAAAATAAAATAAGGGGAGGCAGACTCTTAATGTGGTTGACACCGTACATGTGCATCCCGGGAGTACATTCATATCATTGTACCAGCAAACCTGGTTTCAAGAGCCACCAAAGGACTGAGGACATCCCAGTAGCCAGTAATGTCAAACCTATACAAGTGACCACCTCTACATACAGACAGCCTGGCCATTGTGACCACTTTTTGACTCAAGCATGAAGAATCCTGTCTACAGTGACCACCCGTCTGCATTGACCAGATTTTCTTGGTCATCTGAGTGGTCTTCTTGGGCAGTTTTCACTGTGCCAAGCTATTGCTCTATCTCTATCCTCTCCTTGGTGCTGAATAGCTATCATCTATGACATTACTTGTATCTAAGATTTACTAACAGCTGTTTCCTTTGTTTTGGATGGCCTTGACGAGATTGCCAGAAAAAAGTGAAATTCTAGCAACCACATGAGACCTTATCGACACATTATCAATAGACCTTAACAACAACCACATGAGCTTTAAGGCTGCATTAGTATCATAATTAGCTTTTTACTCTGTACATAATGATATTTGATAATTTTTGTACATAATTAATTCTGTGTATAATTTTTACCGAATTGTATATTTCACGTCTACTGATTTTTGATGACCAATGTTTATTGTTTGACTTGGTTTCGTATTGTTTTGTATTATCATTTCAGGTTTGGGAGGACAACTTGTAAAGGCGTTGATACACCTGTTTTGTCCTCCCTTCCACTTGTTTTTGCATGTGGTACATTCAAATAAAGAAATAAAGAGACATGCTCAGCAGATAACACCCCACCTCTTCTCATACAGGATTCATACATTAGTTACCCACCTGTGTCTGTGCTTTGATCTGTGCCAGGGTTTTCGCTCCCCCTTGTTGTTTGGCAGCGGTCTGGGCCTTGATCTGGGCCAGCGTTCTGGTCTGTCCCTGTACTGGTCTTCCTACCACTTTAGCCTACACAGAAAGGAAACATTCATCAGTACAGGGTGACACCACAGTGTATTGAACATGTATTCTAAATGTACATCCGAGGCTGTAAGGTAAGGAAATTGTACATTATGGTGGTTAATCTCATTTACAAATGCTAAATTTCAAGTCAATCCATTGATCTAAAGTGACATAAATCCAAGTTGGAATTTTTGCTGTCTTTTTAATGAATATCCTAAAATTGAGACTCCAGGATTCTACCAGCAGAGATCCCAATCAGAGTTTCGGTTGATATAGACTCCAATCCAGACCTCTACTGGTAGAATTGCAGATTCTGCCAGAGCGGAGTCTCTACCAATGAGATCACACAGACAGCAGTAAGTCATTACCTGAGTCTGTGCCTTGATTTGTGCCAGTGTTCTCGGCTGCGAGACCGGCTTCTGCGGCGCCCCTATAGACGGCTGGGTCAACTTTGGCCTCTTCTCCGGCACGATCTGTTTAACCATTTCTACTTTCCGTTTCGCCGTCGGCTCCCCGTAAAGCCCGTGTTGCTGTGACGCCCCCTGTTGTTGCGCCACGGCTCCGGACTGGAGCGCCGTCGGTTCAAGACCTGGTGAAAAACCAGGCATGGATGTCCTAGAAAAAGTCTCCGCTGAGCACAGAGTCTGTTGTGAGTGGCTTGATGATACAGCAGCTTTTTGTGACGCCGCAGATGACGTCGCAGAAGAGGGTATTTTCTGGTGGGTGGGGCTTTTCTCATGTACAGAGGAGGAATGGTGACGCTGAGACTGGTGCGCTTGTCTCTGGTGATGATGATGATGATGACTCGAAGAAGAAACGTGGCCTGGCTTCTTGTGATGATGATGAGAAGACAGCGCCTTTTGACCAATAGCAGCCAGGCTGGCACTTGCGGATCCGGTCGCCGCTGCCATCTGATTGGCTACGGACAGCGAGGTGTGCTGTTCAGCGGGAGATTTCTGTGCAGCCATGATCAGCGACTGGGCTACAGACAGAGAGCGGAGTCCACTAGTGTAAGAGGTTCCTGACAAAGCAGTGTTTAGCAAGCCTGCGGTCGGTATAGAGAGGTCCTGTAGCAGGGAGGCAGTGCTGGGGATGGGCTTCTGTTTCTTGGAAGGAGAAGACTGTGGGCTGAAAAAGAAAAGAAACACAACTTTTAAAGTACAGATACTTATTAGATAAATAGATAAACTACATGTAGAAAGGTAACATCTGCAAAGAAAATGCATGTTTACTTTCACATGGTCTAGCATAGCAAACTACTGCTCTGTTAATTCTTCTTCAATCACATCAAACTCTGTCCTGCTACATAATGTAACCCAACACCAAAGGTGACAGATGTCTGGTCAAGGTCATGTTTGGGGAAAAAATAGAGCAAAAACAATATGTTTTCCTTCTGTAAAAATTCCATTATTTTTATTTAGTCCCTGAAAGTCGTGAATGCTACTTGAATGTCTGGCAGTTATTAAAATCTATCCAGCTACATTAAATGTTCTGTTGTGTTTTCACAGAGCACATTTTCACATTTCAGTTTTAAATTTGGGACCGAGATTTACAGGTTGGTCCTAACCTGTTCTGTCCCCAGAAGGCTTCATAGTGTTTCTCCTTCCAGGGGTCCAGCTTGGCCCTCTCCTTCTCCTCCTCCTGCTTGAGGCGCAGCTGCATCTCAGGTGTGAACTCACCTGGACAGAAAGGAAACACCTGGGGGTCAAGGGACCACACCATTAAGAGACAGACAGGGAGAGCTGTCTCTTACACAATGGACCAAACCATTCCAAAAACTGAGCATATATTTGTACTGGGCATTAACCTTTTGACTTAATTGATTTCGAACAAAAACCCTGCTTTAAATTGTGTTGATATGTAACCATCGCGATTGACATTATTGAACATGTATAATGTAATAATAACTTATTACGTTGGTTTTACTGTACAGACTGTAAATTCGTACATTTTGGCACAATTAAGTTTGAAATTTGGAATTAAGTTTAATTTGAAATTAAGTTTTTACTGCAAGGACAATTTGCTCCATGTTTTATGAATATGCTGTATATTACTAGTGTACAACAGTACCTTACTTTACTTAGGCAACCCTATACATATAACCCTGCAACAGTACACCACAGTAAAAAAAGTACATGGCTCCAATTTTGGGCACACAAAAGTGCATAAAAATTCTGCTTCCAGTATTCCCAGCCCCAAGTTCTTTCTAGAAGCCCCGAGGATCCCCTCCCATCACATCTTACCATCGGCAAGCCTCTCCTTCCAGTCCAGACAGGCGCGTGTGAAGAACTCGTTGCTAAGCGCGGTGCTGCTGAGCTTGACGGTCCCGTCCCCACCGATCTGACGGTCGCACTCGGGCAGCTGCAGCAGGAGCTGGTACTGGTAGGACGGCGGCAGGCTCGCAAACGTGTGCTTGTTTACTAATGCCTGGGAAGGAAGGAAATAAAAGTTCATTATACCTATTATAGGGATCAATGTTGTATTGTGTGTTTTCTGCAGTGTGATCAGACAGTGGCAGGCTTGCAGAAGTGCGCTTGTTCACCAACACCTGGGCAGCAGCAAATAAAGTGAAAAAAGGAAAGTAATCTAGGAGCATTTTCACTCAATGACCTTAATGAACAGTTGAGATACTCTTCCACTGGTCATGTACTACAGTATATGCAGGTACATGTACATGTCAAATTTTTACCATGGCCACATTCTTTTTTCTATCTGATCATGGCACAAAAGGATAGCAATGAAAAAGGTCTCAAAAAAAATATTGCCATCTGTATTTATAAGATATAAAACATTAAATTTTAACAGTGACTTACTCTTAGGTTGGTGTTGACAAAGATGGAGTCTGGAGTTTCCACATCAATATTTCCTGATTTGGTCAGGTCAATAGGAGCAGCTGAAACAACAAAACAGAATATGTTATACAAGATTGTATACCTTTATGCTATGAGTTTCCCAATGTGCAATATCAATAGTCTTTCAGCTTGAAAATGATTGGACTTTTACAGATATAAAACATGTATTTCCTCAACTAATAAACACCTTTAGCTGATGTAAGTGGGCAAAAATACAGCCACGTAGAATGCATTCTTATTAATGTGACTATAAAGTATCATTACCATTAACTTGGTGTCCTTCAAATAACATGTTATGTACTAGAGGAAAATTGGTCTGATCTTTCTTACCAGGTGGAAGCTTTTTCTGAGATCTTCTTCTTGGCTGTGGAAAAAAAAAATCAAATTATTTGTGTTGGAAGTAAAGGGTTGTTAATTAATCTACCAATGGAAATTTATTTATTGCAAGATAAATTTTGAATATATTGAAAAGTTTATTGCAAATTCTTGCCCGGAGGCTAATTGCAAATTACAAAACATAAAAGAACAATGAAACAGAGTATAAAATAACTAAAGTCTATGCGATAAAGGTAGCTGTCTAGAACTATGTCTAAAACTATATGTCTGAAGGGTTTGACTTCTCTTCTGTAAACCAATATAGTAACATCTTTGTAAAATCCCCAAGGGTAATATAATTAGATTTCTGCAGATATTTTGTATACAGGTCTCCTCCTCTTGCATATTACAGGCATTATTACCTTTCTGCTGAGCCCAGGAAGCGAGGACAGTAGCGATGTTAGAGTGGGTGCCTGGGATGTCTGGGACTGGGTACTGGCCGTGAGGCTGGACAGGGTGGAGCTTGCCGACGTGTACTCCTTAAACGAGGGAAACTGACTGGAGGAACCTGCAAGAAAGGGAAACACAACCACTGAGAACAACTCTGGCTTTAGTGAGCACCTGGGCTCGAAATACATGTACTGGATGCATATGCTCCTTAAATTAGTGCAGGTAAAATTGGAGCAGTGCAAGTATTTCTTACTACCTAACTACCTACACCTAACCTGCACTGGTCCGTGTACTGGGTATATGCAGGTTAATTGTGCAGGTATTTTTGATGTCTACCTGCATCTAACCTATACTAGGTTTATGCCTTTTTGGAGCAGGTAAAATTGGATAAATTATGATTATCTGCACCTACACTGGTCCATGTACTGGGTTTATATACAAAGTGGACTTTTATTTGCTGTTTTGACCTATGACGTATAAAAGAAATAAATTTTGAAATAAATAACAATGGTTTCTGCACTAACCTGCTGCATCACCAGGTGGAGTGACAGGCTTGAGGATGAGTCTGGGGATGTCCTTGGATCCCTTCTTCCTCCTCTTGTGGGAGTGCTTCATGCCATGCTTCAGGGAGCGCTTGCTATGGTGATGGTGATGCTAAAGAAGTAAAAAAAAAAGATATTATTTTAGTGATGTCAACTGTACATGCATCGTAATGTATGGGCTAGCTAATGCAACTTCCAGGAATATTGCATCACACATGTACAGTCAAATCTGTGACACCTCTATACAAGCCAAGGACCATTTAGTCAGTATGACCATTTCTGGGTGGGTGGTCCCATAGAATAGGTTAGATAATTTTTCACAATTATATCTCTATAGACAAATGTCCACATAGACCGGATTTCCCCTAAGTGGTCTTCTTGTGCTCTCCAAGAAGAGTTGATTGGGAAGATTGTGACCTTCTATGAACCATTTTCTGACAACCAGTCCAATCAATGATGGCCTATTGGATACTGTCTTCGCAGTTGGCTACAACTTTGCCACCAAAAGACCTGCTTGGAGATCAGTCTTTAGTTTTGGGGCAGTTTTGACTTCAAACAATGCAGCTATCAGACCAATTACTCCAACTAACGTTGTTGAAAAGCAACTTAGAGACACAGACTGTTCTGCCTAAAGCTATCTACGGCAAACAGCTGAGTTATGAAAGAATGATCACTTCATTTGCTTCCCCTGCTGTCGGCATCGATGGGCTTCTCAGCGGCTCATCCCGTGTGCGCCCACCCATCAGCGTCAACCTGAATCAACTACGGCGAGACTCGGATGTCAGAGTAAATACAGAGGCCGTCAGTTATCTTCAAACTTTGCCGAGCACTGACGTCAATTCGTTTGGCTGCCTCCCAAGTCAAGAAAAGTCCTCAGGCAGTGGCGTGTACTACAACTGTATCACGTAACGTTGACAGGCACCTTGTAAACGTTGGTGGCAATTTCACTGCCAAAAGCAATTTGCTATGAAGTGTTACTATAAAACAACTGTGACAGTGATATACCGATAACCCGGAAATTCCCTCCCCCGCTCAAAAAAAATTGCAATGCTTTTTTCTGTGCTGTATTTGGGAATCTTTGGGAACCTAGTAAACTTTAGAAAAAAAGATACCAGAAAAAAAGGCCCCATAATATATTGATACCAAAAAGAAAGGCTAATGCCAGAGTAAAGGTAATAAAATGCCTACAAATATGTCAAAAATTAGCTGCAGCCTAAACCTCTTCCAGGAGAGTAGGGTGGAAGAGGCTAGAAGAAACACAACTTGCAATTGCTATGTGAATATCCTACATGTACTTAGCAGCTAAAGCAGAAAACATAGAGAAATAAAAAAATAACCTTGCTATATACGTTTATGTGAGGCTCCTACTTTGCTGTAACTGATTCACAAGGCGGCTACTACAGAGTCACAAACATCCCAGAAACACATCTGAAACCCACCTTGCTATGTGAAGATCCCACCTTGCTGGGACTGAGGTTGCTGGCACCAGGCTGGTAGGAGGTCCCGGGGATGGCAGTGTAGGAGTGCTCATGGTGCTGTCTCATGGCGGCCGCTGCTGGCGTGTTCAGGATGGCGGTGGCCGCGGCTAGCTCATCTTCGGGGAGTTTCACACACAAAACTGTCAAGAGAAATTTAGCCACCAATTTATAAAGAGAGATATACAATTGTCTAACGCACATTTCTAAAGCATGTTGGCAGAACGTATTGTGCCAGCGTGAAACACAAGTTTTTATGACTTAGGTTGGATGCCTGTATCAGAATTTTACCTTTTACAAACAACATCTTTTTTGGGCCAACATTTGACAGCTATGGACAGGATGTCACCTTAAATACATGAATACAACCTTCGTGCAATGAATAATATAAACTGGTTTCTCACAGGTGAAATACGCTCTGCTGACGTGCACATTTCAATACTGGTGTCACCACTGGTGTAACTGTGTCAAGTTGCTGTCCATATCCATTAACCTTTAGCACACTGAAGTAGCCATTTGGCTACCAGTTCCCTATTGGCATAGTATTGCTTACCAGATTACAGGCACAAATGTCAGGTTGACACATTTACCCAAGAATCTAGATCTGGCGGTAAAAGCCGTTAATCCTGGCCAAAACTGTTCCCTTGGCCCCACCGTGACTGGGTCATTGTCTTATTATCACCCCACCAACAAGTGTGAACAATGGAACTGACATTCCAAGTCTAATGACCTGGGGGGCTTTCCCACAGGGCAAGGTACTAGTGCACTGATGCAATCTTCAAGCCAAGATATCAGTCGGGGGTTAGATTTTGTTGGTCTTGTTTGCTGCCTTTCTTTAAAATCTACATTTCTAGAGTAGTAGTTGCAATTACTCCCTAGAGCAAGGACAAGAATGGTAGGAAAGGTCAAAACCTCTGCTTTGGAGAGTAACATTTACGTCAACATGGACATGTGATATCCACTGTGACACAGCCGTATATAACTCTGAAGTAAAGTCGAACTGTCATTTCTAACACAAAAATTGGACTTACCCAAGTTGGGGTCCAAAGTATGGCTTGGAACTTACAGTTCAGCCTTGCATCAGAATTACTACCGAGCTCATTACACAGATGACTCCAAGCTAAGCTGTAGGTAACACTTATTGCCAGCCAGCAGGATAATTTGAGCATTTCATAATGAAACAAAGGTAAAAAATCCTCTCACCTTTCCTTTTCTCCTTCCCTTTGATAGGAGCGGCCTGTCCGTCGCTGACACTCGTGTCTGTTTGGCTGGACTCTGGCTCTGAGTCGTCCTGGTAAAACCGCTCCACTCCCTCCGGAAGATCGCTCTGGGACAAACATGACAAAACATGATATGAACGGCCCTAAAGTGCTTGCTTCTTCCAAGATATCATATCTGGAACCATGTCTGTCTAGTTCTGTGCATGAATAGGTTAGAATCAGGCACGGTTTTGGACAGTCTCCGCATATCCACGAGCATAGATTTGCTCCAGGCACAGTTCAGGGTATGTGTGAATTACCCAGAACCGTGCCTGAGCATAGTTCTGGATAAAGCACAGTTCTGGATACATTCACACAAAACATATTACATCTTACAAGAGGTGGCACCCCGTCTATATTTTTCAAATGCTGTGCCAGAATAGATATCGTCAGCAATGGGCAAAACGAATGCCTGGCCATGAAAAATCTGGGTTTTGCACAGGCACAGGTACATTCTCCCAACATGCTAGTCAACCCCTGACATACACTACTAAGACATTGCTTTACCTTGAGTCCATACACCCCCATCTTGCCAGCCACCTTGTAGAACAGGCTGTCCTCCCCACGAGAGTTGGAGTGTAACATGGCGTTCAGACAGGCCAGGGGGGTGGTTCCACTGTGGGGAGGGGGGCATCATCAATCATCAAGCTTTCATATTTATTAGCAAACATGTCTCTATACTTCCCACCAGAACATACTAACAGCATTGATATATTCATACATAATATCCTTGAAATAATTTAACACTAGCACTATCATTACTGTTCATAGTATGCTTCCCTATAGGAGAAAAATACAAAGTTTTCTCTGTAAAGCTGTTTTGACAGTGTAAAAATACTAGTAGTAGTAGTAAATCTGAAAATCTCACATGTTCTTGTAATCTCATCAAAAACAATGTCTACCTTCATCTGTCATACAAGTCAGGTGTGATGTTCTCCACAGTAAGGTTTGTGATGATGCATATTCCTGATCCCAAGCATTTTTGGATGCTACTTGTATTAATTATTGAAAAATTCTGTACTATGAAACATCATTAATTTGTGCGAGTATCTGAGTGTGATTGTGTGTCATGGAATAATTATTTTACAAAAAAAAGCTTTCCAAAATCCAAACCATTCATTTTCTCTACTCCCTGTCACTACTTGAAATGAAAACATGACACTATAATAATTTAAATAGCATATCTGTATACCACCATTTATCATTCATACATCTAGGATATATGTCTTAAGTTTATGTGTTATAGATGTACATGTGTACATGTAATAAAGCCTTATAAATTACATACTGTCATAGAGATGATTTTTTTGCAGTCATAATGAAACTGTAAAATGAAAAAGTACACAATTTGCTATAAAAGTTTTGGCAGCATTTGCTTACCCTTCTTGTACCTGTACCTGTATTAACCATGATATGACTGTGCAAGTCATACACAAGCCTTATTTTTTTGTGCCTTTTCTAGACTAGTATAGGAAAAACTACATACTACCTAGGGTGGGGCACTCGCTGCACTCAAAGCTCTACTTCTATAAGTGCCCACTGCACATCTGCTTAGTATTGCTGACCAGCATAGCAATTTTTTTTGCAGAGATAGGAAGTACCTTGAAGCAACTGATGAGTAGACTATGTATAGAATGTGTGGTAACACTTTCATACATGATAACATGTGCCAATTTCAGATGTCAGAGTTGACAGAATGGCAATGATTTCTGCCTACACAAGTTATATTGCAATGGAACACTAATAATATTGTATGTGTAACAGGAAATTCAGAATGCTCTTACAAGGAACGCAATAATTAACCAAATTTCAATTTAAAAAGGAGTCCATTTTGAAATTATTATGCTTTACATTTACATGATATATGTATGTCCTATCGAAAGCTTGTAGTAGTTGTACCCGATGACTTGAACATTGACTAACTATGGTGTTAACAAAATTGTACACTATAGCACTTGCTGGATGAAAAGCAACATTTCACTTTCAGTTCCATACATACTTAATACTCGTAAAATTATTTATGCACAGGTCCAGACCTGAGCATCTTTACCTGAACAAAGTAAAAAAACATTTTTTTTGTATGCTTAAAAGACAGATTAACAGCATCTCAAAAAGGCTTGCCTCATCCAACGTTTATTTTATTATATTATTATTCATATTATAATCATAAGTCATCATGGAAAAAAGTCAATGAGGATCCTCTCCAAACAGAGGTTGATGCTGAATATTGTGACCTTATCATATGCCCCGATTTTGGGGGTAAAGCAGACAAAAAATGATGCAATGATAAAGAAGGTCACAATTTTCCCCAACAACATCTGCTTGGAGTCAGAGTAAGATACTAAAAGAGGACTCATCCCAAAGATTCTTTCATCCAGCAACGTGCTCTACACTACCGACTGTCCAACCCTGCAGGTATGTCCTCTTACCTTCTAGACATGTCCACAAGCACGACACAGTGTGTGTTGAACAGACAGAAAATCACAGGTCCATTAGAAAACAGAAAAAATCACGAGGCACCATGGCAATAAAGAAATACACCACAATTTCACAAGAAATATCCAAGGAAAATGGCAGAAAAATCAAAAGAGACTTGCAATAAAAATCACCACAAAATACACATCAAATCAAATCATGTAGGAAACAAGTAGGTAATCATATTAGGACATTTAGTGAGATAGCTTGACTGGGTAAGACAGTTGCAGGAAGAGATGTGCTATGTCTAGACTACAGATGACTAGAGAGCTCACGTTTGCAGTGATCATGCAGATGCCAATGCCATCTACAATCTACATGTACCTACATTTTGTAGTGCCCCCCCCCCCTTTCTGGCACACAGTCTAGCATCTATGTTACATGTGTGCTTGGTTTATTTTTGCAGGTGAACTTTCTACATGTATATGCAAGGTAGATGGGTCCCGAGGGAGTTTTCCTGTCAACTTGTTGATGAATGTTCATTATAATATTGAATTGTAAATTCTTTACTAACATTAATTTTATAAAAAGCGTTTATTGGCAATGATAGTATACATGTTTTTACAACTAATGGTCCGACGCAGGCAGAATCAGCTGGTGATGGTTGTCCCACAAATAAAGAAAGTTACATTTTGATCATTATAAATTAATAATAATATATAAAGCATCGATTACATAAAAATTCATCTTCATAAGACTTTGACTTCATTTAGATCCACAAAAACATGATACTGGTTAGGCACAAGATATCTAGGTCTTAGATAACAGCCTCTCCTTGTGCACATTGTTGTACTGTACTTCACTTCAGGGACAGAACATTTCAGATCCTTGGAATCAACAATGAGCCATCACTAGTCTAATGATCAAATTTTCAAAATGGATGTCCTGACTCCTGGTGAGTGTAGAAAGAAAAAAAAAGTGGCTGATTGTTAAAAACTGTTAGAGTAAGTAGCGTACATGGAAAAACTAAGTGCTACATGGAAAAACTAGCTAGCAAGCAGCATGACAAGGCAGATTTTAGTGCCAGATCGTTGTTGATGTTACCAAATTCCAGGAAACTGTACACGTACTTGATTTCCTTCAGTCCCTCTTCCTGGATGATCCTAAGAATCTCCTTGTGACTCATGGGCGTCTTGGGGTACTTCTCAAGGGCCTGTGTGAGAGAAAAGTGGTTGTCTTAGACTCAAGGTGCCAAATTCTTGCAAGAAATATTACATGTAACATTGTACATCACATGTACAACCTCCAGGGCCTGCTTGAAGTACTCATCTTTAACTCAATGCTTCAAACTCAAGCAAGCAATATTATGCACATACTCTCCAAGCACAGATTGTTGGAGAACATGCTTATCCTTCATAATCATATGCCCTGTTTCTTGTCTGCCCAATTTACTAGGGAAGGGCGGACAAAAAACAGGGCATATGAAGGTCTTAGGATAAACAGGTCACAATTTTTCCTGCCTTATCTCTACTTAGAAAGTGTGTATTACATGTACATGATCACAACCTTGTGACATCCATACACATGTAGTTGATTTCACTGCAGCGCTCATACAAACAATCACTGTTTTTGTTTACATCAATTTTTCTTGACAGGCAGTCCGCTATGCAAATCATTGGGAGGGCAGGCAAATCACTGCCACCCACTTTTTTGCCTACCACTCCCTAGCCTAACCATGACGTGATGGAGTTTGCTTGTAATTAACAATTAAACAATTACATGTCCTCATTCAATCACTCCATGTTATATATATATATTATACATATGCTTACAAGTGATAACATGGAAGCTTTTAGTTTTAAATATGAATGTGATACATCGATATTGAAGTAGGTACATGATGTTGTATTCATCAGTATGACTCACATCTTGGCAATGACTCAAGAGGGAGTCTGACTCTACTGAACATGACATACATGTACAAATGTATACACAAGAAAACTGTTACTCAAGTCAAGGAAGTTAAAGCAAGATTTTGATGGAGTAACAGTTTCCTTGAGTATCTCATTACCTAAGTCTATCCTTCATCGACGTACATGTACTGTACATGTACAAATGTACCTTTCACACACAGGTAACTATTGTCAAGGATACCTTAATCATGCATACATGTTTGCTGGTTGTAGTGACTGTGTTGATACATAGAAAAATTAAAAAGTCCCCTGGCCAACTATTTTGTATAACATGTTATATCACAGTTTCAATTTTTCACATTGCCATACTATATATTTTTTGTGCACCACCACCGGTCGCACCAGGGTACTGCCCCCCCCCCCTTTATACATTGTGATCAGTGAGGGGTTTTGTCCAGAAATCCATAGATGTAGATGTAGATGTAAACCCTATGCAATGGAATGCCACCACAGCACTACTATTGATAGCTTGCTGGTGGTGGGTTCCAAGAAAGAGCTGCCATTGTACAATATTTGCATTTCCCTTGTTGGAATCTGTCTATTCCAATCACTGTACACAGCAGATGAACTGGGCCACTAAACCGCCATCAATCAAATCTGAGTAATTCTGGTATATGTCCTATTTTCATATTCTTTTATATACACATACACTTCACATTTCTAAAACTGGCATCATCATATTCTATTTTGATTTCCACAAATTTTTAAGACTCCCAACACTTTCTCATTTCGTTAATCTGTGCATTTCGTGTTTGCCAAAAAAAAAAAAAAAGCTGGTACAGTAATTTTCTAAGAAACTGTGGACACTACAACAAGCTAGGCCCACCTCACCATGCACCAACATAATTTTTTGCACAGACAGATTTTTCAACGGCAACTCTTCCACAGTAAAACATATACGATGACGATCCAAACTACAATCCCGGATACAATCTCTTGTATTACAAAGGAAAGGCCACGAAAATACAAAGTAGTGCACAACAGACGCCTGTGTACATGTACCCCGACGCGAAGGTACATCGTCGATGTAATTATTGCACCACGCTGAAAAGATTTGGGCCCGCCTTTGCTTTGTGTGACCCCTCTAACTCGAGGTGTCACCACAAACTCACCCACCATTTTGGCGGCTTCGGCCCACGTCCGGCCTTTCTTCTTTCTCGATTTCTCCCTCATAGTTGCTTGGAGTGTTCAGGAATGTACCGATGTGGACAAGGAGCACCGCTCGTGCGAAATTTCCTGGTAAAACAGGAAACTATACTCCTAAAATCGGACGCTTCTGACCCAGGTCCGCCATTTTGAAAGCCAACTATATAATCATGTGACCATCTCATTAATTTTCGGGTCTACTCGGAGATTTTGGGACAAAATGACGATTTCGCAGAAACAAGCCACGATTTACATTCTTTTCATGCATATTCTCCATATCATACCATTTTGAAGACCTTTCGGCTGCTTGCTGTCCCAACCAACTTAGATTAAGCCAAAAAATATCGGTTTTACCAACAGGTGACCTTTGACCCTCCGTGCTTCGGGAATCCTCGGCAACCATGGCTACATCGGAAAACAATATGGCGGCTGAAGGCTGAAATTGTGTATCATCGACATTTTTCGCGTCAAAACGCCGAATTCGTGGCACGCAGGAAGCTTAAAATGATTTGAACCACATCGTAAGGACCTAGGGTTAAAGAGAGACTGAAAAATCGCGATGCCAGACCCCAATTTGGAGAGAACTTTGCCGGGTTTTGAGGGGGCGGTCGCACACCCTCTCCCTCCTGGCCCTGATCCTTCGAGCGATCCTGATGACGAAAAGTCTGGGTTTTTCGAAGAGAAGTTGTTGAAATTCGCCCTGGAGAAGATCCAGAGTGAAGGTAAGCTGTACAGATTATCCTAAGGTTTCCATGATGTTAGTCAGAAGACGGAGCCCTTGCTAATACTAGATAATGTTGTTGTTTACATGTCAGGTCAACAACTAGGTCAACCTTAAGAAAATCCCTGTTCAAATAAAGTTGTTTGCCTTAATCATGGATTTTATTTCCATGGTTCAGTTTTTTTTCTTCAGAGCAGAAGACTTTTAAATCCAATAATGGAAGGCCACATGCCTGTTTGTTAGTTAGTTAGTTAGTCTGTTATTGTTTGTTGTGAATTGTTGTTCCTTGTCGATCTCATCAAAAGATGACAGTTGTAAGTGTATATGTGACATAACGATTGTATATTTTTCCATTTGTACATATAGGTAGGGGGAGTGACCCAGGTGTGCACAAACAGGAGGATGAAGATGAGTATGCAGAAGAGTCAGCAGGTACATAATGACTACATATGTATTTTCAAGAAACTTCAAGAAACATTGCAGTTATTCATTTACACTTCATAGGTGGTGACAGTCAATGCAACAGATAACATTGTACATGTAAAAGTAGATATAAACCCAGTTTTTATTTGTGCATTTCCAGACTCTGTAGCCCCGCTGGATGCCATCCCCCAGGACTGGCCACACGGGTTTGTGAAGCCGTTCCGCAGGAGAAGCTGTGCCCTGACCAATGCCGTGTCTCCCTGCATCAACAAGGCCACCTCACATCTGCACCAGCTGCAGGTGGGACAGGCATTCACAGTCACCTGCAGGAACATCATGTTTTAATAGATATCAATCAATCAATCAATCAATCAATCAAACTTTATTGCACAGTAATTGTAATGGATACGAATTGCTTAACAGCACTATTTAACAAGTCATGGCCTTGTATATTGCAAGGAATGAAGAGTTATAAGTAAGTAAGGAAGAACGTACAATGTACTATATATTAAATGAGTATAATGTCTATAGTATTCAAACAAGGGAATGAGGACTACATAATAAAGTAAGTATATATTGGCTAAGGTATAAGGAAATTGACTCAGGATATAGCCGTAGTTTGAGTAAGCTTGTGCTATACATAAAGCTATTGCCACAAGTTATGCTAACACAGACTGACATGGTTGTCTACACAGGACAAGATTGAGCGCTGGTTCCAGGAGAAGACTATAGAGATCATGAGTGAGTACGGGGAGTCGGCGGCAGGACGGATCACAGTGGAACCTCCGCCCATCGCTGGCATTCTGTCCTCCGGGTTGGAAGCCTCTCCGCAGGCTAAAAGTAAGACAAATATTCTCTATACGGTACCAGTCCTGTAAATTGAAGAAAGGCTGTCCCCACTGTATCCTTCACAGTTGCAGAATACATTGTACTTTGTACTTGGTTCTTTGCACTTGTGGAAAATTTCCCTGGTACAATGAACCTGACCCACTACCCACTGGTATACATTACATACATGTACATGTAGCATCATGTCTTTTCTGTCATGAAGAGTGGAAAAGTTGTTTAACTATCATTTGAGCTGGTTCGAGATCACCTTCACTTTTTTCCACTTTTTCACTTTCACATCGAATAATGATCATGTATCTGTGATTGTGTACTAAGGAAGAATAATGCAATTATGTTTACAAAATTGCATAACATATATGAGATCACAAAAATTCATGTGCAATAATAATCTCACCTCTCCAGGTAGCACAACCCAGACAAAAAAGCAGCTTCGGTTCGCCGCCCATTCTGCCTCGTCCAGTTCCTCCTCCATCGGCGCGCTGGAGAGGAGGCTGCTGGGAGCATCCAGCTCCAACGAGACCTCCACTGTCGGGACGCTGGAGGTCAGGGGTTACGGCGCGTCCATGGAGGACGAAGGTAACACAGCATGGTATTAGATAGAGTAGAAACAGTTAGTAGTAGTTGTAGTAGTAGTAGTAGTATAAGTATCCATGATGGATGAAGGTAACACAGTATGTTATTGGATGTACATGTAGTACTGGTAGTAGTATGGTAGTGTCAGTAACTTAGTATCAGTAGTAGTAGTATCAGTAGAAGTAGCAGCAATAGTAGTGACAGTAGTAGCAGGAGTAGTAGTAGTAGCAATAGCAGTAGCAGTAGTGACTCTATGAACTGTCCTCCGAATGGAATTGAAGTGACCTTGACTGTTCCAGTAGTAATATTTTAACAACTGTTCAATAGGACTGATTTTAATGTTATGGTATTAATGTTATGTTTTTGATGAATATACTGAAGATATGTTTATGTTCTTGAAAGAATTGTTGAGAAATCCAGGAAGATTAGCAGTATGTATTTTAAAATAAAGTCTCAAAGTCACATATCTTGCCCTTTGCCCCACAGAAGAGGAGGAGCCTGAGGTTTTGGAGGCGGTGCCGGAGCTGCCATATTTGGGCGCGGAGGAGGTGATTGACGAGGTGATGGCCCTGCTGGGCCGGCTGGAGGCAGACCGGCTGGACACGGAGAGTAAACTGGTGGAGGAGAAACAGAAGGGCAAGAGGCTGCAGGTGAAGATAGACATGCTGTCTCACAGGAGGATGGTGGAACTCCCGCTGTCTGTTCAGAGAGGTGAGTTTTCTTTTTACACAACCAGTAATGTCTCTCCTTTCAATGACTATGCTTACATTTCAATGCCTATCCTTTGACACCTTCTTCAGAGCCTCTAACAGGAGTGCTGCTTCTTGACACTCTATTGTACAGTGAACCAGTAACACCTAACTTCAGAACATAGTGAACCAGCACTGGTGAAAATGACAGACGGTCATCAAAATGTCAGCTCTTCTCAGCTCTCAGTTTTGAATAAAGAACTTTGCTATTCATCCATTCACCAACCTGATGAAATGATTCATGGACATACAATTGTTGTTGTCACAGAGCACGAGGCCTGTGCCATGGACATCAGTGAGCTCCACTGGCATGTGAACTACAAGACCAGGCAGAACCAGAGGAACCTGACCAAGGCTGAGGTGGCAGAACGACTCAACATCAACGTGAAGGAGGACATCGGCTTCACCCAGAAACACTGGTCAGTCGCACGTTGTATGGTTTCATTTGTGTTGGTACAATAACACTGAGTGCTCAGCTCATAACCAAGAGGTTCCGGGTTCGAATCCTCCAGCAGCAGCTGGCTATATTGCACTGAACTAGCCTTTGCTCATCTAACTCTGAGCAATATTTAAAGCTACATGTATCTAGTAGTAATGATGTCCCTACTGCACTTAGTGACAGTGAGTTCCACTCTATGATAATTGTAGGAAAAAAGGTTTTGAACACCTCGATCCTTGGTTGATAACTACTTAAAGGCATGACTACTTCTTGTTCTTTTGTGAGCTGGTATTAGGTACTCAGTAGTTGGTACATCCACCAGTTTCTTAGTCATTAGTTATTGAGTGAGAAAAAAATATGGTATGTGGGTATAGTGCATCATATTTAGGATGTTTCTCTGTTTAAACCCCAGCCCGCTGGTAGAAGAGAAGCTTGACCTTGAGATGGACTCCATGGCGCGGATCCGTCAGGCACAGCACGAGACGGACGGAGAGCTGGAGCAGACGCTCGGACGGCTCCGCAAGACGGAGGAGAAGTTCCAGGAGGCGCTGGACAAGGCCAACGTGGAGAGGCAGGCCATCGAGAAGGGGCTGAACCAAGTCAGGCAACAGCTCAAGCAGCTGCTGTAAGTAGATCTTATGTTGTGTATGATAGCCATTCAGCACCAAGGAGAGGGTAGGGATACAACAATATAGAGATACAGTAAGGGAAGTTTCATGATGCACTAGCCAACGTGGAAAGGCAGTAGATGAAGGACTTAGATCTTAGATAGAAAATATGTAGTATATGATAGGCATTCAGTACGAAGGAGATGGTAGGGATGCAGCAATAGAAGTTCTAGAAGGCACTGGACAAGGCCAATGTGGAGAGACAGGCCATCAAGAAGAGGCTGAACCAAGTCAGGCAGCAGCTCAAGCAGCTGCCCATAAGTACTACATGTCGCAGGTAAAAGACTTGGGTAGAAAATATGTAGTGTATGATAACCATTCAATACCAAGGAGAGGAGGCACTGGACAAGGCTAATATGGAGAGACAGGCCGTCGAGAAAGGGCTGAACCAAGTCAGGCAACAGCTCAAGCAGCTGCTGTAAATAGTAAATCTACTAAGACCAAACTCAATTTATGTTGGTTTTTGCAGTATGATAGCCATTCAGCACCAAGGAGAGCTTGAAGATACAATAATATAGCTTGGTACAACCTTTCAGCACAGTCAAAATTACCCATGAAGACCAAAATCTTATTTATGCCAGTGATGTTGTACATGATAGCCATTCAGCACCAAGGAGAGGGGGAGAGGGTGGGGACATAACAACAGCTGTTTGCATTTTTCAGTACAGTCAAGACGGCTCAAAGAGACCATTTGGGACGGAGAAAATCTGCTCACTACAGATGGGATTCTTGATACTGCTGTCAATTTAAAAACCAAACTGTACTTCCTGCTTGTTTCTCAGGGCTGAGTTGAACAGAGCACAGGCCATGAACACGGCGTACACGCAGAAGGTGTTTGACACCAGGAAGAAGATCGAGGACAGCCAGAACACCTTCCAGCTGCTGACTGAGCAACTGGAGAACTCTCACGCACAGGAGGCCATGCAGGGCATCAAGGTCAGCACAGTTTTATATCTGACAGCATTGTCCAATTAGGGGATATGCATCATATCGGCAGAATGTACTGCGCCTGGCTGTTTGGTCAATATTGCATCAGAATTTTGCCTCTTGCAGACGACATCTTTTCCAACATAACATTCCAAAGCTACAGACAGGATGTTAAGCTTATGTGTGCAAATACGACCTTATATGAGACGTTCTGCTGAAGTGCTATGCATAGTACATTACGGGTTTTGCTCAGGTGTAGTACGTTCTACTGACATACTGGGATACCCCTTTGTTCCAACACCCATACATTCTGACATAGGGTTAAGGTGGTCGGAACATAGGTTGAGCTTTCAGAATATAGGGGTGTCAAAGCATGTGTCTGTCCCCTTCCACTTATGTCCATTGTCTATATCATATAGCTTCACTGATATCTGCACAACAGAGAAATTTGATTTCAAACTTGCAATCTTGGCCTTCTGATTCGCTGCCAAAGTATGTACTGTAAGTCCATTTTTGATTACGAAATCTTTAAGTTCACGGTTTTCACGAAGACGCTCTTCTCGTGAACTCACCTCCTCGCGAACCCATTCCGTACGTACCACCCCCCCTCCCCCAAACATCGTGCGTCTCAGCTCTATACTAACAACTTCTACATTACGTAGTACTAGTAAATGACAAGACTCAACGAATAACAGCAGACTTCTTTTCAGAATCAAATAAACTTTATTCAATGAGCATATGGTTCACGGAGTCATTATTTTGTTACTAGTAATACAAGTGTTTCTTGCGAAGAACGGTAAAAGTTTACAAAGCCGACTAGACAACATCAGTTTTAACAAGAACGCTAGTTCGGCGATAACGTAGCGGTGAACAGCTGTAAACATGTGCAACATCGTACATACGGAATTTTACAACATACATCGGTAAAAAGTTGTTGTCGTGTACAAGCCACGTAAAGCAGAATTATTTACGGTACGGAAAATCGGCAAAAAAATAGAACCAAGCGGGATAGCGTGGGTCTTTGTCTTTACCTCGAGAGATCAAACTACACGAGTTCAACGTTACTCACCAAAGCTACACGCAAAAAAATCATTTCACAAGATTTCCATACATCCCAAGAAAATTTACGCTACATATACAACATTAACAGGTATTTATAGGGAAGAATTGCACGAAAATCTACCGCCGAGTAACCGCCAAGCCGATCGACAAATCAAATTACAAGAAATCCAACATGGCGGCCTTTGTTTACATAGCGCGTTGTCTAATGGTCTAAGTTTGCTTGATTTTTTTTATTTTTTTTACAAATTGTGGAATCAACATGGTTTTAAACGTTACCAAACAGCAAATTTATAGAACAGTGCGCTAAAATTTCACAACTAAAGATGATTTACGCGAGGACTACTGTGCAGAAGTTAGCAACATTTGCGAGCCGAAAGTTCAAACATGGCGGCGGCTTTTGTTTTTACTCACGCGCCCGTCGGCTCACAGCGGCTCAGATCTCTGTGCGGTCCCATCCCCTGGCGATGTCCATGTTGTTGGCGATACTGTCCAGTGCACCCAGGACCCAGTTCGCATGGGTGGGCTTCAGTTTGGACAGTGTCATGTCCACGGAACCATGTTCTAACCGCGCGTACCTCGCACGTACCTCACGCGGAAAAAAATTATTGACTGTCGGTAAATTTGCAGACATGTAACGCCTTGTTAAAAATTACCGACTCGCGAAGTCATAGACCTCGTGAACTTCCAAATTGCTCCATCTCGTGAAATAAAGCATTCGTGAACATAACTGGACTTACAGTATGTGCTGGCAAAGGCAGGATACTATGAGTTGATTTTTTTTACTTGCTTTCTCTCAAGCATTATCAATATTTCATGCTACATGAAAATGTTGCTGTGACAAGTATTTAATATATGAGATGTGTTTTATCAGGTGAAAGACTTCCAGAAGAAGATCCAGGAGCAGGAGTATGAACACAGCAGGCTGTATGAGATCTGTCACAAGTGCAGGACCGAGAGGACTAAGATGGTAAGTCCTGATTTAGCACTGATCAGCTAATTGATTAAGAACACCCTGCTGTATAGGGGTGGCACAGAAAATTTTTAAAAAGAAGGGTGATAGAGTGACATTGGTCAAAATGAGTTGTACTTAGTTGTCACTAGGAAAGTTCCTCAGATAAATGCTAAATGTATATAGATTGTTGTGTGTTTAGTGTCTATGTGGTCCTGTCTGTACTATGGGGTTTTTCCTGAAATAAAGTCATTCATTCATAAATGGACGTCCCATGTCTGAAGGGAGCGGCGCCTCAAGCATGTTAAAGAATCCACCTCGCATGAAAAAAGTACGGATCAAACCTTACTGTCCTATGGTCATACTGTCAGATTCAATGACAATTGTTGAGGTTACTAGAGCACTGAAAGACCTGTCAGTCCTTGTACCAAAGACAAAGATATGGTGCAAGTAGAGCAAGAGTCACTCACTTACTCACGGCTTAGTGTCTGTTATTCCCCAACTTCATTTCATTTATTTCATTTATTTCATTTATTTCGAAACCTTTTAGCCCTGCAGGGCTAGTCTTCCAAGGCTCAAATACATGGAATACAGGCACATCGTTACATAATTATATACATAGGAAATAGTGCATAAGATACAGTGCAAACGTTTAAAAAGACAAAAATACATCAAACATCAAACATTTAAAGGAACGCATAAATGAATATTAACAATTTAAAAACTAGAGGTCGGCTTCATGTGACACTGTTTACTATGACTTTCTTAAACTTGAGAAGGTTACTCAGTGTCTTGACATGATAAGGTAGGTCGTTCCACAACGATATAGCACGATACAGGAATGAGCGCTTCTTACTGTTCGTCTTAGGTTTGGGTAATCTAAAGTTGTACTGTGCAGCAGATCTGGTATTGTGAATGTGAGATACATGAACAGGCACAAGGGAGTTGTATATATACTGTGGTTCATGACTAGTGACAATCTTAAAGAACATAACCAGTGTGCTAGAGGAGAATCTCTCACTCACAGTCAGCCAACCAAGATCAATATGCATCTGCCTGGTAGGTGTATCAGGAGCACATTTCAATAATAATCTACAAGCCCTATTCTGAACTACTTGCAGTTTGCGCATGTTAGAGACTGACATGCTAGCTAAAACTGGTGCGCAATACTGTACCACTGACAAAACCAGTGCACAAACAACAACCTTACAAACTGCAAAAGGCATCGCCCACATGTGTCTTCTCAATAAGGCGATGTTTCTAGATTGTTTTGAGGCAATGTGAGTGACCTGTAAATTCCAGGTGAGCGACCGATCCATATGTAGCCCAAGCAAAACTGTCTCCCTCACTTCCTGAACCTTCTCATCACCGATAACAAGATCTAGTGAATTGTCAGGTATATTAGCAAGCCTACGTGGGGTTCCGAAAAGCATGCATTTGGTTTTAAGAATATTTAACACAAGTTTATTCATGCAAACCCAGTCTGATAAACTTACAAGGTCGGAATGCAAACCAACAGTGATGTCACTTATAGTCTTACCGGCTTTGTAGATAGATGTATCGTCTGCGTACATTTCAGGTGTACTGCTTAACACAGACAAAGGTAGGTCATTCGTAAACAGTGTAAAAATAAGCGGGCCTAAACAACTTCCCTGAGGGACACCACACTGAAGTACAGAGGGTTCAGAGAAATAACTTCTGAGGGTTAAACACACTGATGCTGAGGCTTGATGGCAGCCCACCATTTGTCTCTGTCCTCTGGGTTTACATTATGTACATGTAGGTTTAGGTGGTTGAAGTCCTACCAAGCCCTCACTCTATCTGTTCTGTTGATATTTCCCTGACAGCAAGAAGAGTTTGAGGAGGAGAACACAAACCTGGACATCACCGTGGAGCAGAAGCTGCAGTACTGTCGGGACGTGCAGGTCAGGAACAGGGACGCCAAGGTCGACATAGAGGAGATGATGGACAAACTTAACGAATGGTGAGTCGAGAGTAGATGTACTTTGCCCCTACCATACTTGGTAGCAGCAAATACCACTCAAAATGTTTTTTAGAAGAAAAAAATAGGAATACCTGAATTCTGGGTTGATACATTATATTAGAAAATTTCATATGCAACTAGATAAACCATGTATTATAAGCTTCATCTGTCTTACACCTACAGCTGTCTTAAGAAACAAGAACCTGGACATATGGAGGAGTATATGTTCGCCCCTGTAGATGTAACATACAGTACCGTTCGCGTTATAGTTAACCGGGTACCCCGTTACTAACGAGTTAGATTTTCGTCAGAAAATGGTTAGATTTTCGTCAGAAAATGGTTAGATTTTCGTCAGAAAATCGTTAGAAAATCGTCAGAAATTATTTCTAACGCGTTACCGTTTGCGTTAATGCGTAGGGTCGGATTTCATGTTTGTTTTGCGCGCCGACAAGACAATAGCAATTTGCCACCTCCTGGGGCGCGCGGGCGTCCGCTTGTGTTGCGATGTTGCCCCACGAAACATGACATGTCTGACGTAGAAAAAATATAAATCGGTAACTCACGCCTAAAATTCACGGCGGTTTTTGGTACAAAAGAAAAATTATTATAATTTTTGTAAGGCCCGCGGCTTACCTTTCGGCTCCCATGACGCCACTTCCGTGCCAATTCGGGACGTTTCGGGACCCCGCCTGCATGTCGACTTCGATGTGTATTTTGTACAATAACGAGTGGAAATAACTTCAATAAATGAACATATTTCTTCTGAGTATAGTCGATATTAACACCAACAAAAAGTCAAGTGACGCACGGTAAGAAAATGTACGTCACTCCCGGCGCAAGGGAGTGACGGTTCAGGTACATGTAACTCCCGGCGCAAGGACTCATGTCATGCCGACTGAATGGTTCGTCGGAGCCGATCTCAGTGGAACCCCGGCCGAAATGGAATGCCCCATACGGTAAGTACAACGTATAAACTGAATTGTAAGAGGGTTTATGAGTGGTAAAATTTGAAATAGTCCGCTAACCTTGTACGTTCTCGTATCGTTGCAACATAACATATGACAGTTCTGCCTCGACAATGACAGGCGCCCGAGTTTAAAATTTAGCTTTCTGAATTCTCTGCCGCCCGCTCTCTTTTATTCACAAGAACAAACTTTCCATAACCTGGGCCCCGAGATAAAAGTCTTAACTCTCCTCTGAACAGACTTTACGTTTACGAATGACTTTACGTTTACGAATTAATACTTACAAGTATGGAGTTTTTCTGCCTTTGATTTTGAGACATAATACATTACGAGTTTTTTTTAACATTGTTGTTGTTTTGTCTTTAGGTGTCAAAGTTTAAATACGGTAGCACCTATACATTCACAGCGGCATTAATACTCCAACCAGTTCTCCGCCTCGGTGATTGTTACTCGCCATGGGGGTTGGTCAATCGGGAAATTGCCTTACCTTTCGTTGCGATGATGACGCCTTGCGAACCGGCCGCTCGAAAACACACGAAACGTTTCCCAATACAATACTGCAATAACGAACGAACTTTAATAAAGACATACATGATTACACCGGTTATGAAGAAGGCTGCGTAATACTATATCAATCGAGAATTTACGGTAATACAAGATTACGCAATTTTTCACTAATAGATCGTTCTCATTGAATGTACAAAATAGTTAATTTTAAGGTCGAAAGATCAATGAACTGTTTTTTCTTCAGGCAAACCTGCGCTCTGATTAAATAGAGCCATGTTGTCGGATGCATGCCACAATGTGGCAATAAGAGAGTAAAACGCTTATGCTAGTCACATCTTACACCGTCTCAATCTAAAAGGCATCGCGTCTTTTTTCAATAGATTGCCATTTTCTGTTCCAGTGAAGACGACAATACGACAGTCAAGACGACAATAAGTCAACTCTATGTCATTTAAAACTACCTGTAGTTTCTAGAAATTGGCACATAGTTTTCAAGATGATATACTAGTAATATAAAACATGCCAGAACTCGCCGTAAATGTGCAATGTTCTGGAACAACTTCGTAAAGTGTTTCTCAGCTAACTTGTTGAGGATAAAACGTAATTGAAACGGAGTACAAAATAACTTCAAAATCTACATAATAAAAGGCAATTGTCTAAAAATATAGCTATTTGTCTAACTCTAACAACTAGATGTAAGGAACACCTACTACATTTGGTATACAAGTCTGCAATGTGTGTCAAATGCTTCATCGACCTGTAGATGAGTATGAAAGTTTTACACTAAAGCGCTCTGCCCTTTTTTCCACTGTTAAACAAAATACTATATATAGATATATATATACAGCA